GCCGCCGTTAACAAAGACATGGGGGGCGGCCCGCGCTGAGCGGCGGAGCCCCCGCGACCCCCGCCGCGCCCCGCGCCGCGCCTTTGTCGCCGCCGCCGCTCGAGACCCGGCGCTGGTCTTTCCCTTTTTGCATACGTATTTTTTCCTCGTTGGGATATATATGCATCCCGTATTGCTTTAAGAATATTTTAAAGCATTTCCCTTGGATTTTTTTTCCCTCGTGTTTGAGCGTCTGCGTTGACGGAAGATGGATAAGAAGTCGTTTGAAACGGTGCTGGATGAAATCAGGAAGGTAACCGCTCGCTCTGCCGCGGGACTGACGCTCCGGTTGGGGGCCGGCGCGGGCGTTTCTGGCGTTGTTGGTCGCGGGAGAGCTGGACGAGCCGGGGGTCGTTCCTGGCCGCGAGGAAGCGGCTGCCGGAGCCGCCCTGGGCGCGTCCGAGGCCGCCCTCGGTGCTGGGCGCCGTCCTTGAGGGCCGCAGAGCCCTCGGAGCCCATAGAGAACCAAGCAGCGACACATGAGCCCTTCCAGGACAAGCAAGTTTCAAACTACCACGGGAAAGTCGCCTGTATATACTGTAGACGTGTAAAATTAAAGCACAGAGTTGAAGGGTCTGAGCTGCGCATCATATTGCTTGCACTAGCCCGGTGTGCTAAAGGTGACTCTTCAGATTTCATGTCTCGCTTAGGCTTCAGTCGTGTGTTTGGTTTTCATTCTCCTGGATAGCACCGTGTTCAAGAGGATTTTCCCTTCCTTAACCTGTTTGCAAGGTCACTTTTGTCCTGCAGTGATTCCTTGTGTACAGGAGAGTGCAAAGACAGGGCCAGTGTTTGCAGTGATAAGCCAGGCCATGCAGCTCTGCTCAGCTGTGAGCTTCCATAGGAGTTTCAGCTGAAAGATCGTTTGGAAATTTAGATGGTTACATTGATCTGTCATTGTTCTTGTGTGTTATTTTGTTGTCCTTTGAAAATTCTCTTCAAGTATGTTTCTGACTGTAAGTCTTGCCTCAAACCTTCTTATGTTTTCTCAGAAGACTGAAGTTTTTTTAAGCTCTTTACACTGACTTGACAAAATGTGGTTGGAAAATGCTCATTTGAAGTAACCAGTTTGTCACTGTATTTTCATAGCAGTTTTGAGGAAGAGAGGATGAAATAAAATACTGCTTTTTGGCTTTTTTGTTTGATGTGACTAGAGAAGCTAACGTGCAGTGTGAGGTGTCCTACCTTAGAAATAACGGTTTAGGAGACACTGCAGGGCAGAGTCCTAAGCTGTCACTGCTGAAAGCCACCTCTCCCACTCCTGAGCCACCTTTCCCCAAATGTAATGTAAAATTCTGATCTGTCAGGGTGGAAAACTCCTTGAAAAGCTACCTATTTGGTGTGAGAAGCCACGATGTGACCCTGATTGTCTTCTCCTGCCTTTCTGCATAGAGGTCCGTTTTTAACATGAAACTTGGAAATTAGCTGGGGATGGCCAGGGAGATGGAAGAGAAAATTGAAGGGAGCTGGAAAAATGTCCGCATCCTTCAGACTCTCTGGCATTATCTTACATGAGAAGTGAAAACCTCCAACGATAGATTTTATTGTAGTTGAAAGGTTGAGCAGGAATGAGCCTTTGTTACCCCAACTGCTCCCACTAGCGTTTTTGCATGAGGTTTTCTTCCGTGAGGTCGTTATCTCAAATCGTCCTTTAATAAAGAAGGATGCACCATTTGGTACCATCCTGATAGGTCAGGCTGACAATTTCCTAAGCAGAAGAAACAGCTGATGTGTTATTGCCTCCCACCCTCGGATCTTTTATGGGAATTATGGAGGGGGAGGAAATTGAGAAACAGCTTTCACTGACAGATTTTCTCTGAGAACTGGAGGAGGAGGGAGTGATGTTTCAAATGTTACCACTGCTGCAGTGCAGCACTTAAATTCTCCGTATGACTAATAAGTACTTTTCAGACAAAAGGTTTTCTTAACGTGAAATTCTAGGCAATTATAGGCTTTTCTCGTATTTTTACAGACTGAATTTATTGTTAATCCTTAATACTGTGCTTTGTTAAAACCAGCTGCTGCTAACATCTCTGCTGCTTAAAAGTTCATTTTTTAAAACACTTATTTTGTATCTTTGTTATTAGGTCTGTGTTTAAACTTAATTTCTAGTCCTGTAGTAAAACCTTTTTTCTGTTGTTTGCAGGTAATCCTGCTGCTGCCCTGCATTTTTAGTCTTGCAGTTAGTAGGAAAAACATTGATTCAATACCTTAATATGAAGCTTAGTTACATCTTTCCCCATGTTAATTTGCGATATTAATAAAATATTTTTTCTGAAATGTACATAGCAGTGCTTTTTGATTGTGTTTTTTTGTTATTAGTCATTCAGTTTTTAATTTAAAGAGTAAGAGCAATTTTAGTTTTGATGCAGAAGTTGCTATATGAGGTACTAAGAGATGAGATCCCTGAATATGTGTAAAGAAGAAAGGCAGAGAAGAAAAAGAGTGAAGAGAGAAGTGGTGTCTTTGCCCTGTGACTTGAGCATTTCTGGTGGTCTCGGTCTTGCAATGAGGCGCAGAAAGGGAGAGGTTGGCCAAGGAGAGCATGCAGATGGTTTTCTGTGCACCTTTGCTGTTAGTAATTGGATTGCAGTGAGAGAACAGCAAGGCAGTCGGGGTGGAGTGAAGAGGTGGGGGAAGCAGGAGAAGAGAGATGGGATTTAGGTCCATGCACTACAGTTGGGAAGAAGATGGGTGAAAGGGAGAGAAGGGTGTTCTGAGAGTAGTTAGTGTGGGAGCTACCAGTGGGCAAGGGCTGTACGTGAAGAAGGGAGTGTGTGTCGGCTAGGATAGTCCCAGGGGAATTCCTGTCCTATATTTTTATGCTCCTTATTTGTGCCCATGTCCTCAGTGTGAGGAGAAGGGGGAAGCCCTGGCTCTTGCAAGGGCCGCTGCCATCAGAACAACTGTGTCCTGCGGCTAAGTGAGAGGAGGTGGCCAGTGCTGCAGCAGAGCTCTCCGATCCCTTTGGTTTGTGTGACTGTGTGTTAACGCTCAGCAGCAGCTTCTGATGTAGCCTCCTCATAAATGTGCTGCAATAAGATACTCTGCTAATTCTACTAAAGGAAACATTTGCAAGTGCTGGATGAATAATAATCTGTATTATCTTGATTAAAATAATGCTGGTGTAAGCTTTGGAGGCAAAGGGAATGATGATGATCTTTCAGTATAATTTTAAGTCAAAAAATGTGAAATGTAGCAGATAAATGAGTAGCTTCTTCAGTAGAAGAATTAGATGTCCTCTCTGCCTTTCATTGCTTGCTGGTTTTCTATGGAGTATCCTTAGGCAATTCTTAGAAATATTTCAGTACATTTCTCTTTTTGGTAGGATCAGACTTTTTTTTTAGATTAATGAATTTGTGTAGGAGATGACTGTGCTATAATTTTTGAGGGGCTGCTTATGTGTCTCTCTTCTCTTCTAGGCTGTTTTGACTGAGTACAAGTTAAAAGCTATTGAGTATGTTCATGGATACTTTTCAAGTGAACAGGTAAAAATCAGCATGAACTTGGGCTAAAGGAAATTCTTGGTTTTGCATATCCAGTACTACAGAAAGACACTTTCTTTAATCATACTCATGTTTACTTTTTTTCTTTTAATTAACTGAAGAGACTTAAATCTATGTTGTTATATCTCTTTAATCTGCATGAATCTGTTAAAAGTAGTTCTGTTTTTTAGGTTGTAATAGCTATTACATTTTTAGCTTCTTAGATGTAGGAAAATCAAGCATCATGGATTAACAGTTATTTTGGATGTAGTTTCTAAACATCCAGTTGTTATTTTGTACTGTATTTTTACACTGGTCTTGTTATTTTTATATGTGTGTGTATATGTATGTTTTGTTGCTGTACTGGTTGAGGTAGTGAATATTTCTAAACTTCTGTGAGAAGACTTTTTAATATCTGTAATAGATTACTTCAGTATCTATTTTATATATTTCTGCAAAAAAACATATTTCATGAGATTTTATTTATATATTTTAACATTTTATAAATTTGTATATTATTATAGCCTTTATTATATCTATTATGTACATTTATAATACTATATACATTATAAATATATAATAAATATAATGTTTTATAAGGCAAGGTTTTTAAGAGCTTATTTTAAAACTTACTTTAAAGAGCTTGCTTTAAACAAAAAGAGCATTAGCTCCTCGAATATATTGATGCAGTCAAATATCACAGATGGGCGTGTGTTAGCCCACACAAAATATTAGCATAAATTTTGAATCCACATAAAAGTTTAATTGAAGTCCTTTCTGTTGCAGGTTGTTGAGTTACTGAGATACTTTTCCTGGGCTGAACCACAGCTCAAGGCAATAAAGGCTTTGCAGCATGTAAGTTTTGGTAGTATAACCTTGTATTTCCCTCCTTAATATTTACTTGTCCAACTGAGGTGTCCACTCTTTCCTCTTCAAGCTTTTCTGTTTTCCTTTCTTTTTCAAAGGTATCATAATGAGAGATGTCATACTTCTAAACAAGATATCTCTTCTTACTGAACTACCTTTTATTTTCCTCTGTATCACAAGAACAATTGTTACTTGTTGTAAATATTAACAACTTTCCTGTTTTCTTTTTTTTCTTTTTTTTTTCTTTTTTGGACAAGTGCTTTTTGGAGTTGTTTGCTAAGCATTTAGCACATATATTCTTCTTCCCAGTGAAAGGTAGAAAATATTAAACATAGAATTATATGGTTGGAAAATACCTTCAAGATCGAGTGCAACTGTAAAACAAATATTGCAATACATGATATGAAGCAGCTACCATCTTGAATTATGAATTTAAAGCAATTGTACTGCCTTATGTTATGTAAACATTTTTCTTTCTTGCTCACTCTACAGAAAATAGTTGCTGTGCCAGCATCAAAAATGGTTAATATTCTCAACTGTTTCACGTTCAGTAAGGACAAGCTTATTGCCCTAGAAATCTTAGCTTCGTAAGTACCTCCTGTGTTGTATTTCCTTAAGATGTAATTGTTATTTTTATTAAAATTGGAGTATATCAAACTTAATATACTTCTAGAAGGACACACTGTAACCAGTTCAGGTAAAGGACAGCTCTTTACTCAAAAGTGTAAATTCATTACTATTGAGACTGTAAAAAAAAAAAAAAAAATAGTAGTATGTAGAAAATTCCCAAACTCATCCAAGTCTTGAGCATTGTGCTATGCAGGCTTCTGCCTTCTGGAAATCTGCCACTTCACCAATATTTTCAAAATAGATTGATTCCAAAGTTTTTAAAATAATGAAAAGATCCTTATGCTTATTTCTGTACAATAAAATTTAGAAGGTTTGGAATCAGAGTGAGTAAGGCTGACATTAGAAATCTTCTGATTTATCATACGAATGAATGTGATTGGTGAAATGGTGTTCTGTGAATTACTAGAACAGCTAGCTCAAACATTTTGGGGCACAAATTCTCTATATAAATTTGTGCAAATAAATAAGACTGAGGATGTGGGCATGATCTTGCCTTTGGATTTGATCCGTAGGAGGCTGTGTGATGCTCCCATTTTGTTTTAGTCTAAAAGAAATCAAATAAATTCCTAAAGAAATTTCAGCAACACATTGAACTAACCTGTTTTACTCCCCTTGAAATGGGATTAGGGCTGATTAGTGGCTGCTCTTTAGCTGATGGGGGCAGAACCTGTGGTAACTTTTTAGAATGTTGAGCTTCTACAGTGCAAGAACATAACGGAGTCATTCTGAAATAAAAATCCCAACCCAGGTCTTTGAATTTCCTTTCCAAATAAAAGTAGAGAAGAGAGTGAAAGTACATTCACATTTTAATACCATTCTTTAAGGTGTTTGATATGTCTTTGTTCAACATCCTGATGATTCAATTTCTTTTGATATCTTCCACCGGTGAAAAGTCCTCCTTTAAGGGGCTGTACTGCAATTCCAGCAGCTTGAGTGGGGAAAGAGAGGACATTCGACAGCACTAAAGTCGATGTGCTCAGAGTTTGAAGCAGATGTGTGGAATCAGGCATTATGCTTCCTACTGCTTTTGCAGATTTGTTTGTTTGTTCTCTTATGCCCAATGACAATATTTTGGAGAGAAGAGCAAGGAGAAGGGAAGGAACTTTTTGGAGTTATCTGAAGCGTTTTATTAGCATTGTAGAGCATGAGAATTGCATCTCTTTCATTTAAAGTAAATAGCAAACCTCGCAGCTACTGGGGTTTTTTGCTGTGTTGAGAATTGTTCGTTATTAGCAATTAAAGCTTTCTAATGAACTTCTATAACGCAAAATTATTTTGTCTTTTTTTTGCTATAAAGTTTAAGCAGTGCCCATTACTTTGAGAAATAGTGATTGATAAATAATCCTAATCAAATGACTGATAAGTAATCCTAATACTGTGTTTCACTTAGATGTATGAGGTCCATGTTTAATTAAGCCTGAGGTTTTCATTTTAGTATTGATAATGTGAATTTATTATGCTCTGTTGCATACTGTTTGAGTAAGTGTTGTTTTTTTCTGTAGTGCATTATTTCTGATAAGTATATGAAATTATAGTAATCATTTGTAAATATCTTCCTTTGTAGCAACATTGTTGATGCTCAGAATTATCGCCTTATTGAAGATCTATTCAGAATTAATATGTCAGAGAAAAAAAGATGCAGGAGAATTCTTGAGCAGGTATTTAAGATGCTTTAGTTTTCTTGATTCTTTAAAATATTGTTTCTATCCTTATGGTCATGGTGGAAGGAATGCTTTTAACATAAGAGCTGCTAGAAACTCCTCACTGAAGATGACCTGAAAGTAGAAACTGCAAAAAGAACCATGTCCATGTAATGCCGTGCCAAAAAAAAGGGGGGAGGGGGGCAGGGAAGGTTGTCCAGAATCAGGAATAGATGGCAAAAGGGACATAGACATGTAGCCAGTGTTTAAGGACACACTCTGAGGTTGCTTTAAAGAACACCAAGTGTTTGCACCTAAGTTCTGTAGAAGCAGAGGAGGGCTGAGTTACTCAAAACAAGGGTCTTTGGCAGAATCTCAGGAGTATTTGGGAAGAAGATCCAACATCGAGGAGAGACAGAACTTTGTATTGTTCTGAACAGATGGATTAATTCATTCCAAATGGCATGGAATAGTAACGCAGTTCTTTAAAACATTGAAATTAATAGTAGATAATATCTGTTCTTTGATTTTTTTCGCAGGCTTCAAAAACAGGCTGCAAGGCTCCTCATGCTATGATATCATCCTGTGGCATGATTCCAGGCAACCCTTATCCCAAGGGCAAACCAAGCCGCATAAATGGAATTTTCCCAGTGAGCATGATCATTTCCCTAGGCTTTTCATAGCATCCTTGATTTGGGATTTGTTGTAGTGTAATCAAACCTGGATTTATATACATGGATGGAAGAAGGGAGTTAAAAGCAATATTGTTGTTTTCTGAAATTCCTCCATTATGTGTTCTTAGTCAACCTGTGGTATTTTTATTGGCACGTTCTTTTTGTTTTGATTTGTGTGAAGATTACAGCATAAATAAGATATTCATATATGGAAAAGATTGTAAACTACAGCTATGTTTAGCAGAATGAAGGAATTAGAGGTTTAAAGATCTGTAATAATAGATAGATGAGATGACCTAATTACTCACTACAGTACTGCTGTTAATCTTAGTGTAGTTTTTGAACAACCATGTTAAATATTTTTTATATACACTGACAGCCAAAATACAACTTATAGTGATACATGGACTGTTCAATGTGCATCACTTTACAAAAGGCCAGCGTTATAAATCAAACTTCTGGAATGCTCTTTCTTAACATTTTACAAGCATAGAGCGCACTTTTATTGTGAAGAAACATGATTAAGTACCACGTTAAGAATATGCGTAAATTTGACTGTAATTTAGGAATAAGGTAAATATGCAAAAAAGAAATCTGTATCAAATTTTGCTTTTAAATTAATGCTTAATAGCTTAATTTTCTTATTTCAGGGAACTCCTATCAAAAAGGATACGGAAGAGTGCACTAATGAAGGAAAGGGAATAGCAGCCCGTATACTTGGACCATCCAAACCAGTATGTCTAATAAATACATAAAGCAAATATGAATAAAAAAGTACAATCATCAACCAAATTCATAAGGCTTTTTATGAAGGCTGTTATGTTACATGAGGACTGCAGAAGAGCGATTTAAACAAAGCTTAATTTCTACAGTAGCAAAAATAACGTTCAGTGACAAGGTATTTCTGCATGAAACTTGAAAATTTGAGTCAAGCCTTAGTGTATATCCTTAGGGAATATGAATCTCTAAAGGATACAATATGCTGTCATTCGAGGACAGAATTTAAATCACAGTAGCAGAAGAGAAAACTGAAAGCAATTTGGGGAGTCCAGCATGAGCTAGTTGAAGTTTTAGATGCAAATTTATGCAAACATGATATCACAATCTCTGAGGGTCTTCCACAAGAGAAGTCCATGCATCTCAAAGCTTGAACTAAGGGGATGCTGTATAAGGAAATTCTTGTTTCTTGACAACATATCTGATGTATATTTCAAACATTTTAAGCATGTGGAACAAACATTCACTGAATTTGATACTGCTTCTATTGTGAGTTAAGAAGTATTGTCCTGATATTTTATTTGCACCTTTCTGAAGTGCTTCCCACTGAACCATAGTATGTTGCAAGGATAGATAACTTCATAGTTATTTTAAAATGTACTAAAGATTTAGCACAAATATTAGACTACAAAGTGGGAATGAGTTCCTTCTTCCTCCTTGGGTTTGATAAAATCTGAAACTATACTAGTGGTGTACGTTTCCTTCTCTTCAGAAGACTTGAAACATTTCCAGCCACTGCAGCAATTATGCTAGAATTTAGTATCATAATGTGTTTTCTCATGAAGAACAGTGACCTGTGCAGCATCTGAATGTTAAATTTCTGTGTGAGAAACATTACCTAATGCTTTCACTATTGCTTCCTGCTTTTTTTTTGTTTATTTTGTTTTGTTTTTTTTTTATGTAGGCTCCATCAACCTACAATCCACACAAACCAGTTCCATACCCCATCCCACCATGTCGGCCACATGCAACTATTGCACCAAGTAAGCTTCTATTATGTTTTAGCTTGATGCTATTGTTTCATCCATTTGCCTTTTAAGTAAAGAGTGTCTAGTTCAGTTTCTCTGACCATGATCATATCTGAAATTGGCTTGTGTTCCCTAAGCATGCTCTGGGTACCAGTCTCTACCTCTTCCTCTCATGACTGCAGAGTTATTTAGATGAGGACTATGTTGGCTTCTTTTTCCAACATCCACATCATTGAGAAAACTAATAATCCTGTTCTAACAATAAAATATTTCATGTATGGGAGGCATTGGGCATGTAAGACTAGGTAGGGTTGTGGCGTTTCACTAACATTTGACAAAGATTGGGGCTTTGGCTTGTCAAGTCTGTTGCTGTTTTGTCAAATTTAGGATATGGTCAGGCGCACTTAATTGGTTTCTCAGTTACCTGCAGTAAATTATCCTGCTTTCCCCTCATCGCAGTGGAACACAGCTCCTTTTAAACAAAAACAAAACAAAATAAGTTTAGACTCATAGACTCAGAAGGGAGGTCATGGTTGCAGTGTTTGATTCTGTCTCTTCTTAGCCTTGTGCCTCAGGTAAGACGCTTTGCGACATCAGATGTTTGATTCCAGGCATTTGTGGAACAGAGCTGGGTGCTTAGCAGCACATCTCATCTGCAGCTGGAATGCAGCTGAATCCAGCCACCTAAATACCAAGACAGGGATTTTCCTGGCAATTCTATTGAGTTGCCACTTACCTAGAAGAATAGGTTGAAGTACTTAACCATAGTCAGGCCCTGGGCTTTCTTTGTAGTAGCTTAAAGTGATTTGGGAACATGCCATTCTGTATTAGGTAAGAGTGCTCTGGTTTAGAGGCTTTTCACAGTGTTAAGAGGACTCAGGGTGTTTCAAGATGTATGAGAAGGGGATGAACTGGAGTTGGTTTGAGATGGTAATAGCATGGCAATTGAAGGGTGAACATCAGCCTGATGTTTACAGATTCCTTTGTTATAGTCAGTTCAGAAAAATGGAAACTGCTGGTGACTAAATTGAGCAGTTTTCAGAATATGAAATAACAACATACAAGCTCTTGGTAATGCTGCAATACTTTTTTTTTTTTTTTTAAGAAATGGCCCTTGTTAATGAAAAACTGATATTTTACTTGAATCTGGCTCTGAAGAGAGTTATGTGTCATTAGGAAGTTAAAATGTTTTTCGAAGTGGGAATGGATTTCTTTGACTATTGCATGCCTGTTTTATATATATATATATATGTGCGTGTGTGTGTGTGTCTCTGTGTATAGACACACACTTATGTGCTTAATGAAACTGAAGTTACTGATGTGAGTGGTTTTAAGTACAACTTAACCATTTTCAAGTAACGGTCAAAACCAATGGAAATGTTTTTTTTCCCCATATACATGAACATCTACCAGGGCAGCACAATTATCTTTAATTACTTCTTTTAATTTGAATCATGAGTTGCTGTGGCAGAAATCTAACTTTAGATCTGCTATGAAAGTGTTGAATGAGAAAGGAGTTTTGTGTGACATATTGGAGTTTTGTGTGACATATTACAGCACTCTGAATATTGTTCATGTACTGCCTTTCAGAGGAAGCATAATTTTGCATATGTTTAAAAAGTTTGCGCAGGCTTATTGTGCTGTATATATTGTTTAAATTCTGATGATGTTCTTCAGAACCAAATGTCATAGCTATAGACGTACAGTTGGAGTTACCCCGAAAATGAGGGAGGAGAAAAATTTTTGTCAAGTACAAAATGTTTTATATCAAATTTATCTGTTCTTCCACTTCAGTTTCTTAATATTTAAAGGGATATTGAAGGATGATGGACTAGGTATTCAATGCGCACAGAGTTGGGACATTTTCTCTTAATTTTTGGGCTAGTATTGAAAGACTGGTGGGTGATCAGTGCCCTCCCCTCCCCTCCCCTCCCCTCCCCTTCCCTTCCCTTCCCTCATTAAAGGAAGAGTTGCAGAGACTAAATTAGGAAGAGGTATCAGAAAAAAATACTGCTGCAGACACGCCATTTCTCTCCCTTTGAGTTTATCAGTCATTCTGGAACTGAAGGCAAAAGAAACCTGTTTCTTTCAGGCTGTTTAAAGGAGCAGAAATTAAAACTTACCTCCTGCCTGGTTCTGTTATTAAAAAATAGAAATATAGCTAGGGAACTGTCCTTACTAAAACTTGTATCACAATGCATGTCATTGGGCAGACTTTGACAACAGCCTGGATAACAAACACTGACCTTTTTACAACCTTGAAAATATTCTTTTAATGAAAAATACTTTCTGGTTTATTCAGATGTGTCTTTTTTGACAACAAGGTATATGTTGCCTTTGTTTTCAGGTGCTTACAACAATGCTGGCTTAGTTCCAATGGCTAATGTCATAGCTCCAGGCTTACCAGCTCCTCCACCATACACTCCTAATCAAGTTACACCAGGTAAAGCATTGGTAGGCCTTTAAAAATGTTACTGTTGACTTTTTGCCTTTTTTTTGTATTTTTTTTCTCCTGTGTTGTTGTAAAAGGACCATTTTATGCTGGATTTGTATCTTTTTTTAAATAACTGCTTGCTGTTCTTTGTTTAGAAAATGAAGACCTTTCCAGCCAGACAAAACCTTCCCAAAATCAAGGTAAATTGCAAGGGAGATTGTGTTTAGACTTTACCTTTGTTCAGAAAATGTAAATAGTTTTTCATTAGCGGGATTTTCATAAGCATGTAAGTATTTAACTGCTTATTGGAGTAAGCTCCCTTCAGCGTTGAGAAAAGAGTAATCTAAGGCATTTAGCACATGGAGATTTTGAGTTAGTCCATTACATTTTTCTATTTTCAAGCATCTGTATGTGTATTTGAGAAGTCATGTAAAAGCTAAATCAAAATATGTTTTGAAATGAAATGCACTGAAGCACTTCATTCATATCTGAAGCTGTTAAAACACTGGACTTCAGTCTATTTGAAAAGCCACTCACATTTCTTTCATACCCATGTTGCATTGGAGGAAAACTTGGGATATAGATGGACCAGGCAGATTTTTTATTTGTGATTTGTTGAAGTCTACATGTAGAGTATCTTATTGCAGACTGTTAACATCTAACAGTATCCTTCTGCATTCTCTTAAAGCTATAATCCTTTGTGCAGAAGAGAATTGTTTTTTATTTACTTTTTTTTATATCTTGTTTCATATTTGAGCAGTACTTAGTATACTGGGTTTTGGTTTTGGGGTGGTAATTCCATCCTGTTCCAAACTACTTATATTTGATTTGATAAGACTTTGTTAGTTTTGAGAAATAGAAACTCAGAACTACTGTTTATTAAGTCAGGCATTCTAGCAAATACCCAAATTAGATAAAATTACTATATTAAGTTTAGATTCTGTAAATATTTGGGGAAAGGGGCAACTGAGGAGGGGTTTTTTGTTGTTTTTCTGTCTTTCCTCCGCTATTTTAAAGACTTGCTTCATGCATCTATACCCTTCACATGCATACACATGTATTTACAAGGCAGTTTAGAGAAGTAATTCCATAAAATGTAAGACACACAATCTGGGAAGGATTCAGTGATAGCTCTAGATTCTACTGCAGCTGCATTTCATTGATAGCTGCTGTTGCTCTGAGGGTTAAGAACTGTGATCATCAGGAGATTTTTCTGTTTGGAAATGGGATGAGGCAGGGGAAAATCCAGAGCAATCTGGGTTCAGCTTTTTGAAAATGAGCATCTAAAAGAAAGTTATTTGCAAACTGACTGGTTTTACAGTTTTAAAAAACACATACACGCATGCAAAGAGTTTGTCGTATCAGCTTAGGTCCCATTTTTGTTTTCAGGGCATGTGTGTATGTTGGGCAGGAAATAAATTCAATTTATTATAGTTATATTAGTGATATGTGGCTAGCTGGATCAGTGATTTGTTTGCAGTCGAGCAGATTATTGCAAAAGTAAAATACATCAGGGTTGTTTGAGAGCAATAATTAAAACGTTTATATTCTGCAGGGACCTACATGTAAAGATATTAAAGCTTGACATGCTAGGGTTCACAAGTGCAGTATTTCTTGCTTAACTCCTATGTCCCAATTAGTAGTGTGCCTTCCGGATTTCCTACAGCTTCATAACTCTTTGTAGGGTTGACATAAGCCCATATTTGTAGTGGCAGGTGCTTGCCTCTATAAAAGATGCCTTCAATTTTATAATCTTCCACTGGCACTTGGCCTTATCATTGTATTGTGAAGCATGAATATAAAAGCGTACCTTTTAGAATTAAATTATGAAGAAAATAGTGATGAGAATGTCCTGATCTTGACAGAAGAAATGCTTCACTTGAAATTACATTTCTTCAGTTGTTTACTAAACTCTGAAATCATGATATGTTAAAATAGGTGGTTCTGAAGAAAATCCTGACTGTCAGTGAAAGTGAATGTAGAGGGGAGTCCCACAAGGCTGCTAGAAAGCTAGATCTAGTTTGTCTAGATTGTCTTATATCAATAAATCTACATTGTCTTGCACGAGGCCATGAAAAGGTAACAGATACCATAAAGAATTTTAAATAAGTGATAACCTACATATTGTACAGCTTTGTACCTACCTTTTTATTTTACCTTTATAGACTCCAATGTGGGCTGTTTGTATACAGACACTGTATATTAGCTATTGCCTAGAGACACTGTATATTAGGTATTGCCTATGTATCATGTTTTGAAATACTGTATAAAATGTGTTTGTGTTGATTTCAAGCATTTCTGACAGTTTCAAGTGTTCTTACCACTTTTATTTCTTTGCAGCTTTTTCTGCACAAGCGAATCAGCTCTTTACTCCTCATGGTTCTAATCCTTCAACACCTGCTGCTACTCCAGTCCCTACCCCATCACCTGTCAAGGCAATAAGCCATCCATTAGCACCTGCAACTCCACTCATCCCTGGGATGAACATATCTGCCCCTGTCCTTCCTGTTTTCCCAGGACAGGTCTCCTCTTCCATCCATTCATCTCAGCCATCAACCCCAACTCCTACCGTCATCAAGTCGCTTTCACTGCCTGGTGTTCCTGTCACATCTGTCCACAGCGCAACCTCTACCCCTGTTCCTGCAGTCTTCTCTGGGCTGGCTTCAATACCCACTGCGACACCAGCTCCGCAAGGGTCTTCCACACCATGCGCCACACCTGCACCCAGTGAAGCTTTTGCATCTGCTTCCACACCATTTGCTAGTGCCCCTTTTTCTGCAGCCTCTTCAGTTGCTTCAGCTAATAATCCTGCTCCATTGTCATCAGTTTTTGCTGGCCTCCCGTTGTCCCTGCCACCCAATCCCCAAGGCATTTCTAGTCCCGTGCCCTCTACAGTTGCCAATTCCCCTGCCACTACCATCCCTGGTTCACTTAGCTTACCTAACCCAATTTTGTCTGTTTTAAAGGGGTTTCTGACATCAAATGACACTTCATTAATCAATTCATCCGCTTTACCTTCTGCTATGTCAAGTGAGCTTGCTTCTTTGTCTGCCCTTGCTAATCAAAGCTCTGACCCTCCCGCTTCCTCTGTCAACAAATGTTATACTCCATCAGCCACCCCCACCCCACAGCGCTCCTCCACACCGGGGCTGGCCATTTTTCCCGGTCTTCCATCCCCATCCGTGGCCAATTCTAGTTCCACTCCTCCGACATTGCCTGCGCAGTCGCCTTTAACCACCTCACCGTCTATTCTGCCAGTCAACTGTGGCTCCTCAGCCTCCCTCTTGCATGGCACAAGCCCTACTAATCCTGATCAGCAGCTCTCCTCCGCCCCAGCTGCCACAGGTATCCCCACAGTTCTGGTCAAAACGGAACCCATGAGTCCCACCCTTTCAGCCTTCAAGGGCCCTTCTCACTCGGCCGGCCCGTCTCCCGGCTCGCTGGGCCTGTCGGCGCTGGGCCGCGCCTACACGGCGGCACCTTCAGTGCCAGGCAGCTTGCCCAGCTCCCTGAATCCGGCGCTCTCGGGCCTCTCCTCCTTGAGCGCTCCTTTAAACAACCCCACTTCTCTGGCTTCCATTTCCCTTGCGCCACATGGCTCCCCCGCGCCCATCGCCCCCGTATTTAACGGGCTCCCTCCTTTCACGTCGCTAACCAGTAACTTTGCTTTTACTGGTAACCCAGCACTTACGCCCCCCGTCACTCTCCCCGGGTCTTTGTTAGCTACTCCGTCCTCAACTGCTTCAGCTGTGTCTGCCCCTCATGTGAACACCACAGCAGCCGTACTCTCAGGACTCGCCGCCTCAGCAACAGTCTCCGCTCCACCCTTTTCGCTTAACTTGTCCAGTGCTGTCCCTTCCCTTTTTTCTGTCGCCCAGGGACCTCTGGGATCATCAAACCCATCCTTCCCTGGTTTTCCTGTCTCTAACACACCCTCTGTCACTCCTGCTCTCCCTTCTTTCCCTGGCCTCCAGGCATCCTCTGCAGTAGCAGCAGTTGCACCGTTGCCGGCAGCTGCCACAGCCCCATCTCCGGCTCCGGTCCTGCCAGGGTTTGCCTCGGCCTTTAGCTCAAACTTCAACTCTGCACTTGTGGCACAGGCTGGGTATGTTTCTCTTTCTGAGGGAGGTCAGAAACATTTCTTTTTGTCCAAGCGAAACACTGTTTTTACTGTAGGCATAGTCTTCAATTTCAATTGTAGTTAGCAAGTAGAATTAATATTTTAAACTTGGTTTACCAGTAGATTTCCACCTGTCTTTAATAGCTACTGAATAGATTATTCTCATCAGTAGCTTCACTTTTCACAGAGTGTAATGCAGTGAGGTGCTGAGTGAATATACTTGACACCTCCCAGGATTTTACAGGAATGGATTCCACGTGGGCACCCATTGCCACCTGCAGGTCATAGCAGACAATGTACTAGATGCTACTATGATTTTAGGGAGCTTTAACTTTTCTCTATGACGTTTTGTGTGCAAACAGCAAGCACAGCCAAGGCACAAAAACTTCTGACTTCCTTTCTCAGGTGCATGTGTGTGCCAGATAGTCTTGGCTTCTATGTGCACGAGTAACTTGTAGGTGGCTAGAGGCTGTTTAGAAATTCTAGCCTTTTTGAGGATTAGAAAAACAGATATTATCTAATTTATATAGATACAGGCTTATGTAGACAGAAGCAAAATGAGATACAGATGTTTGTAATAACCGCTATATCTTGACTCATTCTTTCAGCTTAACTTCTGGACTTCAGACCCCAGGAAACACAGTTTTTCCTGGTCTTTTATCCCTCCCTGGTATTCCCGGCTTTCCCCAAAGTGCCGCACAATCTTCCCTACAGGAACTGCAGCACAGTGCGGCCACGCAGTCAGCACTGCTACAGGTACCAGGCTGCCTACTTGTTAATACTGTTCTGCTTTCAGCAATTATTTGAGCTTATACTTGGGTGTTAACATTTGGGGATTCAGGGGGGTTTTGGGATCCCTAGCTTCTTTGAGAACTGATTACAGTGTTGATGATACAGGGAACAACTTGGGTTCCGTTTCTGCTGAAGGATGACTAATGAATGTGCAGTGCTTCTGGAGGTTATGAATCTGATTAAGCCCTTCTTGAAAATACTTGGTAAAATGATGAACATTTTAAAGAAAAGAGGAGGAGTAAGTAGAGTTAGTGTTAGATTTCTTATAAATTTAGTGAACTGACCATCTAGCTGCAAATGCCAAACTTAGTTTCCATTTGAGATTTGAATGCTTAAAGGAGTTTTCTTTTACCATAGGTCATGTGTCTCCTCTGCATACAAAATTCAGATTTTCTTGAATTTGTTTGTGCTGGGGTTGTTCCTTTACCTTGATAGTTTCCTCAGATATTAGAGTTGCTAGACAAGTTTGAGATAGCTTTAGAAAATGTGTAGTCTTAGCATGTCTCTTATTCATGAAACAACTTGAGTCCCTGACCTACCTAGATTATTTGAAGGTATCATCAGAGCTTGTATTTGATGTTTTAAATAGATTTAATCTATCTTTTGAGTAGGACTAGTATTCTACCTGCAGTTTTGCTTTATTTTATCAGTGCTATTGCCTAACATTTTTTTTCCTTCCTCCTTAAGGCACATTCTGCTTCTGCTCTGGAGAACTATACAGCTCAGCCTGAAGGTTTTGCTAACTATCCGTCAACACCAGGAACACCATTTTCTTTGCAGACAAGTCTACCCCAGAGTGGATGGCAATAAATACCAGTTATTTTTAAAGACTGAAGTAGTTGCTTGACAGAGCCTGATCCTGCTCACTTTGAAGGCTGACAGAATTGCACTCCGCTTCAGTAGGAGCATGATCTGGATTGGGGAAAGAAGGGGAAATGTGAGGATAAAAAGCTTCTGGGAAACGGTTTGTGTCAGACTGCAAACCATGTCATGATTGCTTTTAACTGATTCAGGGTCTGATCCTGTGAATTGCTGAGCATCCTTGACTCTCTTTGTAGTTTGAGTTCAGTGTTTGCTGTTTTATTTTTACAGGATTGGGAAGGTTCAAACAGACATATATGTAAATAGAGCCATTGGCTATCAAACTGAATGGGGAGAACAAGTATACTTAATAGTGTGTATAATTGCCTGTTCTTCTGTTATGTTTTGTATGGTATATGTGGTTAATGTAGAAGGAGGTCTAGAGAAATTAGATACTTCAAGCTAAAGCTGGTGATCTTTAGTCTAGATGCACACCTTCTGTGTGTGGGTCAAGATCAGCTTATGGTTCTTAGGGTCCTTTCACATGCGTGAGGATCTCCTGTTAGCATCGCTAGTATGTCAAGGGGAAACTAATCAGAGGTGCTTGGGGGGTTCTTATGCTTTGAAATACTGTCATGGGCTTGCTGCTGAATTGAGTACTCCACTGTTGGGATATGAGCAGGAGAGCTAGGAAATGAGGCTGTACTACATTTGGATAGAAATGGATTGTGTCTTATTGGAGTATGGTTTAGCTGGCTGGTAATATGTCTTGCCGAAGCGCGTAAAAGCCTTTTAATTCATCTCTAAGATAATGTTCCATAACACCCTCCTGCCCCCGTACCTCTCTGTGAATAAAACAATTCTCCTGCGGATAGGCTGCCTATCCGGCACTTTTGACTGCAGACTTTTGTGAATGTTTACAGACATGGGTCAAGTTGTTCTCTCTGTTATATTCACAAACTCACTCATTCTCTTAAAGCTTTTTGGCTCTAACCCAACTTGATGGTGCTTATGTTATCCTGTGAATATAAGGGGGAGCAGAATTTGGACCATGGGATTTTTTTTTTAGTATTTTTCCTTGGAAAACGTACATGATTTTAAAAGCATATAGCTAAATTAACTGTATTGGTTAGGAAAGGTTATGACGCAGTGTATAAAAAGGTCTCGCTTTAGTTAGTGAAGTTCAGTTGTGCACTCTTCTAATAATGTTAGTACCTGTGGCAATGTGTAAACACATCATTGAATATCATCTGTTTAAAATAAGCTCTTGGGTCATGTTCTGGAGATGAATGATATTCAATCCTGTGATTAAATTAAAATGTAGAGGATAATATACTGTAGAACGGCTCTGCACCTAGAGTTTTACTTTTTTAAAGATGAATTCTGCTGGGAGATGATGCTAATGTATTTTCTTTCAAGATGTGAACAAACTTTTTTAGAACATTAATGGAAATTACTGTATTGCTTTTTAACACAGTTTTTTTAAATAAAAAGTTTACAGTCATGGCACAAAGGCTTTGCTGACTATTTACCTATTTGCTTATATAACAGATGAATAAATTTCTTTTTACTAAGATGCCTCCTAATGTTTGATTTTGTTTTTATTTTTTTGTTTTGTTTTCTAATCGGGCAAACTTGTATACTAAATTATAAAATATTTTCCCTAAAGAGTGATAAATAGAAATGTTGAAGTGTTTATAGAAGAATTTAGAAAATGCAAACACTGCCTTATTGATTTTGCAACCCAGGGATAGTCATGTATTTTAACAATTAAATATAAAAGTAAAAATGTAATGCACTTTTGCAATTTTTTATTTTGTAGAAGCTGTTAAATTCTAATGATTCTCAGCTTGGAACCGATTTTAAAGCAGTGCCTTGTAGATTCACACTAAGAAATTTGTGGACAAAATCTGTACCATTTTTCATTACAGTTTCCAATCTTTCTTTTAATGAGCATATCTTTGTAGGTTTGTAGACCATTTGAAGAGTGGGCAAAAGAAAATATTCATGGCGAAAGGAATTTGCCTTTTGCTTCTTAGTCTTGAACACATGTGTAGTTCAAAATCAGTAAACATTTTGTAAACTTACTGAGGTGCTGAATTTGGTCTCTAAATTGAGCCCCATTACCCCATAAAACAATCAAAAATGGTTAAGCTATCTCAGATTCCTCTACTGTGGTCAAGTACTAGACATCATCTGCACAGTATTTTATCAGGAAGGTAAACAGTTTGTGTCTTATTCTTAAAACATGCATTGCATGGTCGCGTGTCTTTAGTTGCTTAAATTTATTTATTTTTAAATTAACTTTGGACAACTGAGAGAGACCTTAGAAGGTGAAGCCCTCCTTTTCCAAATGAAGTCAAGTAAGGAGCAGTGAATGCCCACTGTATTAAACACTATTCTCCTGAAACTATCCTTTATGAAGGACACTGTTATGCCTACCTTCTGGGAAATGCTTTTTATCAAAAAGAGTATCACATGCACAGCTGATGTAGTTTTAGATAAAAGATTGTTATCAACCTCACTGAAGTGAACAAACAGAGCAAGAAGCAGCATAGCTTTCTACAGTTATTCTCCAAAATAATCTTTGGTTCTTTATATTTTGGTAAATCATATTGAAAAAGTTTTTATAAATTGAAGAAACTCTGTTAATTGGGATTAAGACAAAATTCCATTTATTTAAAATCCCTCCTGATGTAAAATCACTTTTCTAATTCCTTCCTGCTTCTCATGAACAGTCAAGTTCATGTTCTGTTCTACAGGCCTTGGCTGTAGAACAACGGCTACAGACATTGGCTTGAGTTTTCCTGTTTTCTTGCAAACTCTCTCTTTTTCTTGGTGCCTTTTGACTGTTTTTCCTGTTCAGCCATGTTCTGGGAACGTGGAAGCCCCAACTTGTATCCCCCATCCTCTGCTATTGGGAGCTGATGCCATTTTCACATGAGATGAGGAGCAAAAAAAAAAATATAGAGAACATTCCTGCAAGTAATAGGATGTAAATATTTATCTTTCCTGTTCTGGCCCTTCCACATTTCAGTCTAGAGGAGACGAATGAGAAGCCCCTACCAAATATGTGGGTATGTATTTTGGGGGTAGAACTTGGTGCCAAAAAAAGAACAGTCTTGTCCTTGGAGCCATAGCCCCCATATCCAGTGCAGATGAGGAAAAGCGGGGTATGGCCCAAAAAAGACTGAACTGACCGAAGCCTAAAGTTATCTGCAAATCTCATGTGAGAACTGGCTGATAACTTCCCTGAAATATTTGGGGTCTATGCTGCTAAGAAATATCCCTGCGTTTGAATTGCATTTCTCAGTGATTTTAACAAGAAATCGTGCAGTGGATGCTTGGTCTGCAGGATTAGGTCTCTGCAGCTGAGTGATGGGATGAGTGGTAGCAAATGGGAGACAACAAGGTAACAAGGGAGACTGTGAAGGGGTTGTCACATTTTGTAAATTTGGGGTGCCCATATGCAGTTTACAGGTAGCTCATGGCTGTCCTGCCTCCTTTGAGTCTTGTTGCTCCTCCAGACTTCAGCCATAGCGGTGCACAGGTCCCTGCGGTTCCACAGGCAGGTTGCACAACCACAAACATCTAGTGTTGCACCCAAGGCAAAGGGGCTCTCCTCTATCCTTAGCTAATTGGGTTATTTGGATCATGCTGGTTTTCTTTGTAGCACTGCTCTATGGCACAAAGCCACACCAGGCTGCGAACTTGCAGCCTAGAGACTGTGTTTTGGCCCTGAGTGCTCATGCATTTCCTTCTCACAGTGTTTTTTGGCACTTGAAGATGTGAGATCTAGTTACTCTGTTATCCAGCATACCTCTGGGAGAATGGATTGACATTGCAGTGCCTTTGACGTTCAATTTTTGGAGTAAAGAAGAAATAAAAATGCATCTGAAATTAACATTTGTATGGCTTTTTCTGTTTTCCTGAAGGTAAAAGAAAAATGCCTTTTGCTCTTTCAAGCGGTATATTTACAAGCACCCTAAGGAATTCTCAATAAACAACAGGAGTGTGATTTTTTGTTAGATTTTCAATATGTTTGCTCATCTATCTGATGGTAGAAGCATCTATGTAGACTGCAGCATCCAAATGGCATATAATAAATGAAATGATTTTCAATAAAACTGAGTTGCTCTAAAAACAGAAAAGATTGGGGTAGTGCTGCAAATTGATTTCACTTTCTGGATATGTTTAAAAGCATGTTTTTCTAACAGTTCACAAAGACTGCCCTATTACTAAGCATATGTCAGGAAAGGATTTGATCTTACAGCTAAGTACGAGAGATCAAATAATCGTGAAAATGCAGGAGGTAAATTTAACTGGAATTTGTGATGTGTGGGAGAAGATACTGAGATCAGCACATGAGCTCCAGTTTTGCAAGCAACTTGTGGTTTTCTTTGTGATTAAGAGCTTCTGTTCAATGGTTTAGTTTCCTTGCTTTGTAAAGCTTAGAAGAGGCTCCTCTGGGGAGCAGTCAGCTCTGAATGACTCCTCAGGGACCAATATGATTACTGAAGTGGATGGAGACTTGAGTGAAATGAAGCTGGACCTGGATCTTCCAGGACACTCTAGATGATGAATGCCTCCAGAAATGGTATCTATATCATTAAAGGCACTATATTTCCCAGTTGTAAATTACATATGAAAAAACACCTCTCTCTCTCAAATAGCATGCAATAGTTATGTGTTTTTTTGTAACAGTTATGTGTTTTTTCTCCCCTGCTGTGATTTGCATAAATGACTCAGAAGTGTCAGTGCTTCAATTTCAATGTATTTGAGCTCAGTGTTGAAAGAGAAGAGCTTGGAAAGATGATGAATGCTGTTATTACTAGGAAAATTTGAAGACTTTGGAGCTGAAACGCTTCCAGTGCTTTTGGATTATCTAGCCTGACAGAGTTCAACCTGGTGGGTCTTTAAGGCTTATTGCAATGTAAAATATTTAGTAGCTTCTCATGAGTTAACTAGTGCATCAGGGAGACTTGGCTGCCTTTGGGATTTGAACTACAACTAAACCACGTAATATTAGTCAGGGTACAACAGAGGGGCAATACTTTCTCTCTCAGTTTTTATCTTATTTATTTTTAAAAAATTCTCTAGTGTGGATAGTGTTGGGGTAAAACCAAGCGGACCAAATTCACGCTTAACTGGAGGCCACAGTGGACCAGGGAGTGACATCAGAGACAACGGACGTTGTTTCTGTAAACATCTCCTCCTCTCCAGGGCAACTGAGTCCCCACGGGCAGCCGTGTGAGCGGGGATGTCTCCAGCTTCTCTCTGCAGCCCGTGCGTGAGCACCTTGCTGTCTGAGGGTATGCAGTCTGCTCAGCTGTGAGGAGATCTGACCTGCCCAGCCTGAGATGGATCCCAAGAGAGAGGCACCCAAGAAAAGCAGCACAGAGCATTTAATTGGCAAGTTTTGATGTTTTTTTTTTCTTCCCCACCCTGTTTTGTTCCCTTCCCGCCCCCATCAATGATTATAAGGGAATAATACCAAACAAACAAACAAAAAAAGTGTTTTGGCTTCAGGCCTTTATGATGTCTCTTTTAAATTTGATATGAAGAATTAAAACCTGGGTGGTCAGTGATTATAATAATTAACATGCAGGTGTGGCATATCAGATCACTGATATGTTGGGTTGTGACAGATTCTTATTCTTCATTGTTGTGTTTTTCTAGTTTCCTCCGCTGTTTTGTGGTAAGAGGTAAAACTTTTGGGCTAATCAGAGAACATTTGTGGTGGTCTTTGGAAACCTAGGCCTGACTTCACTATTTAGAAGGATATTTCATGGGAATTGAAGTTTTCAGTGCTGAGATTGGGAACCCTAGGGCAGCCCTTATGGAGAGTGATTCAGTTGCTTTTTTTTTTGTCAAGCTTTGGATGTGCATTTCTTTCCCAGGGTAGTGTTATCCCTTTTAGAGATCAAGGATCTTCAGACTATGATCAGATGGATGTTGGTACATGATGCTAAAAGCCAAAACTACTGTGGTGGCAAGTCTGGCACTGCAGAACTTTGAGGCATTTTTCTGTGTACTAATAACTTAGATGAAATAGTGCATAACATGTTGTTCTGGTGCATAAAACACCCCTTTCTGATTACTATTTCTTTGCATTAACAACTATGAATGATGTTGTTATTCATAATTGGTATTCTATGATTTTCCTTGATTAAGGATCTTTCTACTGATTTTGAGTCAATTCAGATGTTTGTACCTGCTGTAATTCAGGTGCTGCTGAAGCCTAACCCACCACTACTAGACATCACAGTGTCAAATGGCTGTGAAAGCCATTTGCACACTGAATCTGAGGTCTTGTCTTCAAATATATGACCTTAAGTTTTGTGTGGCAATTTACTCAACTGAACTGCTCAAATCATTCCTGTGGAGGTGGCTCAGCAAACAAGTATAGACTTCAAATTATTCCATTGTCAGAAAAAGTCAGAACCAAAGTCAGACTCCTAACTTTCCTGGCAAAATTTATGCCCCCAGCTCTCATGGAAAGCATTCATAGGAAGACCTGAAACTTGGCGCTTTTGGGCAGAAGCTTATTTATATGTGAATGATGAAGTGGGTAGTAGGAACCTCAGAGGTACCAAAGGAAAATCTACAAGGAGCGAAGGGCCCTCTTGCAGTGTCCTTGTTTGCAGCCAATACAACTTCATTCTCAGAGCTCAGTGCTGCTAGGCACAAGTTACCTGAGAGAGAAGAGCTGGAGAAGGAGTATTTGGTGTTTCATGTGGGATTGCCGGCATAACCAGACAAACCAGTTAGTCCAGCTCTGCCAGCGGCTCCAGGGGCCTCTCCTCTTCGAGTTTGCCTTACACACCAGATATCCTCATGCTGCCTAACAGCGTGACAAGTACTTCTCAAGAACTGTAAAGTGCTTCGACCTTTTTATTTATCCATTTCTATCTATATCTGAGTTTTCTATAATGTCAATAATTCCTATCTTTTTCTGAAGAAGCATATCCTGAACTACTGAGAATTTGTGTATAAAAATGGGGATTGGTTTTGACATTATTTGTAATAAAAGCAGACATAAGAAAGGAATTAGCCTTGTATGGGGGCTCCCATGAACATGTTAGGCTTCTCCACATGCATTATGCCCAGTGCATGAACACAAGGCCAGCATAGGGGTTACTAAACACTGCCCATTCTCCAGGGAAGCCTCTGAGCCCTCAACCTTTCCTCCTGTCTTTACTGGGCGCAGACGGGAGGTTTCAAGCCTGGGCATCTGCCTTCAGCTTCTGTTCTTCTGAAGGCCAAGCCTGCAAAACCCTCCTCTGGCTCAAGGCTCACCCAGCAACTCCCTCGTTCCTTGGCTTTTCTCATAGCAGCTCTACCAATCCAAGGCATATATATATATATATATATATGTACACACACATATATGGCTTATCAGCACTCTGTCCTTGTGGCAGCACTGTCCAGTTTTGCTCCTGTCCCTTTTCCAGACCTCTTCCATGTGGGTTTCAGAAGCTCCAGCTGCTCTACCTTTTCTGAATGGCAGCTCCTTCATCCCCTGCCCCCTACAGAAGACCCTCCTAAACTTGAAGAACTCAGCACTGCTCTCATTCCAGACACTAAAATAAAACAATATTTTGGAATGAGAAGAGTTTGAAAGGACTAACTGAAGTGTGAATGCACATTTTGTTAAGACCAGATTTAGAAGCTTGTCTTCCAGAGGATGAACTGGTCCACCAGTCTTCCTCATCTAAAGAAAGCAGGAGTTCCTCTCATTGTCTGTATTTCCTGCTTAGTACTATCCTGGCACACAGACAATGATTCATGTCCGATATTTTACTTGATTTATTTCTCCTAATCCTCACAGTCTTGACAATGTCTTTCACTTTTCCTCTTTATTTCCTGTTGTAAAATGTACTTTTTGAACCTTTTAGCCTTTTATGCAGAAGAGGTGTCTGTCTGGATGTTTGTTTCAATACTTTATGGCATTTAGTGCATGTAGGAAAGTAGGAATGAGCCCGTGGACATTGCAGCTTCTCCTTATTGCAGAGAGCTAGATCTATGCCCCTCAGATAATTCATCTCAAAATTTGCATTTGTTGTTTTTCACTTTTCTGTAGCTGACAGGCGGGAAGGACTTGGTATCTGTGGATGGATCCTCGTTTCCCTTTCTTTCCTGTTTGTGCTTATTACCTTTCCTATTTCCATCTGGACCTGTATCAAGGTATGCTATAGGGATTTGGAGAATATAAAGAATGCTCTATAATCACCCTTGTTACTTATATGTTATGTTTTATTTACCATGTTAAAAGGAAGTATTTCACATTTGTTTTCTGGAAATTGTAAGGTATTACACTGAAATTGTGTGTTTGAGGCAAAGAGCTTCAAGTTCTTCCACAGACTTCCTGTATCACCACTGCTTAGTTGTTTAATTTCTTCTCATCTCAGCATCCATCACCAGTTAGACTTCCCTACTGTACAACAGTACTGGTTGACTAAATCTACAAAATTTTAAAGAGAACACTGATTTCACGCTGCCAATAACAGTGATGAAAGGTACTGATGAAAACAGGAACAAGCCCCTGCCTTCAGAAGCTGGTCGACTTAAGGCTACAGTCCTTTCAACACATGGGGATAATACAATTAATTTAAAGAAATCTGTTTTAGCTGAGATTCTAGGGTGATTTTCCTGACTGAAGTGGTTGGGTAGGTTATAAAATGTGAGAGATATTTTACTTTGCGTACAGTTCCTCATGGCTTTGAAGCAAAGCTATGAGTAGCTCCATTAGTACAGGGGCAATTCTTGTGTATTTGGTCTGGATTGTAATTATTTGCAGGGACAAAGGTTGACTTTTCCCAGCAAAGAATGAGGTGAGAAGAAGAAGTAAAATGTTTAGACTTCCAGATTTTTTTTTCTTTACTTATTATATTTATTTTCACCTTTAAAATGTATGTCAAAGATTAAAAATAAGTCAGACAAGAAAGCAAGAATAGAATTAGTTATTGAATTCTAATTTTAAAGTATTTCTCTAGATCATCAAAGAATATGAACGTGCTGTAGTATTTCGGCTGGGACGCATAATGTCTAAGAAAGCAAAGGGACCAGGTAACTGCAAGAAGTTTTATTCTATTAAGATAATGCTAAGTTTTATTCTACTAAAATGCTCTTATTTTACAGAGAATTGCAAAGACCTATAAAATCCTTCATAGCACGGGCAGATGAAAAGGACCTTGTTGTTGTAATTCCTTTACCTACAAGCCTGTGACTGTGCTGTTTGCTTTCCTGGTTAGATGGTGATGCCATCCTCTTGTCACCACACAACACACACAAAAAAATGTAAAACCTTGATAATAGATATCGTTGTGCTGAAGTGTGACCTAGAAGGTTTAAATTCTGCCTTTAACTCTACCTCCAGCTTTCCCTGAGTGACTGGGACTGCTCTATCTGATCTTTAAATCCAACACTGCTTGCTGCCTACTCCTTAGCTGTCTTCCGCCTTGAAAATAGTAAATGCTTCAAGGGCAGGGACTTTGCTACACTCCGCATCTATCCAGGACTTGTGGCAGTTGCCTAGGATCAGGTTACAAATTACAAATTAAAACCAAAAGCAAGAGGTTTGCATCCATGTAGTTACTGCCTCTGTGCAGTGAAACTGGGCAAACTGGAAGTGCTAGTGGGGAGGAGAAGCGATACTCGCCTTCCTCGTGGTCCTTGTGGGCCAGAGAGGAGGCAGGGCAGCGTGCAGCAGTCCTGCCTAGCTCTGGGGACTTAAGCAAGTGCCTAGGCTAGAAACGTGGTTTTGCCAAGTCTCCTTCTCCAGACAATTGGAGATAGTGGGGACTCCCTCTCAGGGAAATCCAGACTTACAACAATGTATTTATCTTATTTGTTTTTATTTTTCAGGTTTGATCCTGATACTTCCTTGTACAGATGTTTTTATTAAGGTTGATCTCAGAACTGTCACCTGCAAAATTCCTCCACAAGAGGTAACTAGCAGCCTTTTAAAACAAATAAAACATAGATTTCCAGCATAATCAAGGATAATGCAGGTATTTTGTTTTATTCTTGCTGCTCACCTATATTGAATTTATTAGCTGTTTCTTCTGACTTTGAAAAATCATTGCAGGCAAAATATAAAGATAAGGGAATCAACTGCAAAAATTCATAATTGTATTGTATCATACACATGTAGATGAAGTCATAAAATACTGTAAGTAATTCAGAAATTGATGTGCTAATAAAACTGGATCTGGCAACTCACCCTTCAGGAAACCTTTCACTGAAGTTATCACTGCTTGTTTATATACTCTATATATGTCCTAAAAGCAAATTACATATATGTAATAAATCACCTTAAACCTAAAATAATTCACAGGCCTCAAAAACTCTTATCCTAGTAAAAATGGAGAGGCTTTTCTTTAAGCATTTTGTAGAAAAGAACTGACAAAAGAATTTAATCTGAAGAATCAGTTTCTGAGCATGAGGCTCTGACCCCAGTAAGGTTCAATGTTTTCTGCTTGGGGAATTGGCATTGCTTATTTAATTGGCATACTTAAGCAAAAAGAAGAGCAGAATGGTAAAGCATTGGCCCCAAGACCAACGAGGGTCTTGAGGGTCTGAGGAGTCTGAGGAGCCTCTGTTGTGTTCTCCAGGAGGGAGTTCTTTTACTCTTGTCCTTCCTTAATCGCAAAAGGCCTTTTTCTTAGAGAACCCAACAAGGTAGTTTGGCTTCTCTAAGAGGACATGTGGCAAAATAAAAAGTGGTACCCTCAAAATGGAAGGTAGAGAGTAAAGTGGTTAGAGCAGTTGGGCATTTAGGCTTAGCAGCTAAGGTTTGCAGGTTTTCTACACAGAACCTAATTGTAGGCAAAAGATGCTGTGGAGGAGCATTGCCATCTCCAGAGAGGACTCCCTGCAGGCATTTTTTAGGGGAATGTTAAAGAAACCAAAAGAAATTCTTGGTTTCTTTTGATTATTGAGGCCTTTTCCTCACTAAACCAATGATTCCACTTCCGTGGCACGGCTTGTTGGATTCTTTTCTAATTCTGTACATCTCTCCAATACAGATTCTCACGAAAGATGCTGTTACTACCCAGGTTGATGGGGTGGTGTACTACAAGATCCATAGTGCGGTCAGTGCTGTCGCTAACGTCACTGATGTCCATTCAGCCACCTTCCTCTTGGCACAGACAACCTTGAGAAATGTTCTGGGTACGAAGAGCTTGGCTCAGCTCCTGGCAGGTCGTGAAGAGATTGCACACAATATCCAGGTAAATTCGGCTCTTGAGATCACTGACAGGCATGGAGATTTGTTACAGGGGTCCAGATCACAGAATCACAGAATATTCAAGGTTGGAAGGGACCTCTAGAGATCATCTAGTCCATCCTTCCTGCTCAAGCAGGCACACCTAGAGCATGTGGCACAGGGTGGCATCCAGGCGGGTTTTGAAGACCTCCAGACAAGGAGACTCCACAACCTCCCTGGGCAGCCTCTTCCAGGGCTCTATCACCCTCACAGTAAAGAAGTTCCTCCTCACCTGGAGATGCAACCGCCTGTTTTTCAACTTATACCCATTTCCCCTTGTCCTGTCGCTGGCCACCAGTGAGAAGAGCCTGGCCCCTTCTTCCCTACATTCTCCCTTCCTGAACTTATACATGTTAATCAGATCCTCTCTCAGCCTTCTCTTCTCCAAGCTGAACAGGCCCAACTCACTCAGTCTCAAATGATCAGATCTTAGAAATGATCTCTCTTTTTTAATTTATGTTGGTAAAAAAGTCTTCATGTCTTCTTAAATATATATCTCATTGTTTAAAATATTAAGAAATCTATCCAGATTGTTGTAGAAGAGTTATTTCAAAAAATAATAAAGATTTTGAATTTAGCTAGTGATATAATAATGAAGAATTTTAACTTAGCTAGTGAATTTTATGATACAATACAAGTAGTCTTTGAGTGATGAGAAAGAAACCTGTTGCTTATAGAAGCTCTACCTTGAGATGGCCTTTGATTGAAGTTTAAATTGCTGTTAGAGAAGCCATACAGGTTGTCCACATATTTTTTCTAGTGAAAAAGTTCAGTTGCCCTCTCCGTGTCTCAGACACAAATATCACCCAATGAGAGATCAGGGCTGCCTCAACTACAGGTAAGAGGCAGGGTAAAATTGCACATTTTTGTTTCTGCACCACTGCTATTGTTGGGTTATTTTTTTGTCTCTAAGACAATCCTTGACAGTGCCACAGACCACTGGGGGATCAAAGTAGCCCGTGTGGAAATCAAAGATGTCAGGATTCCAGTGGCGATGCAAAGGGCGATGGCAGCTGAAGCTGAGGCCGCACGAGAGGCAAGAGCTAAGGTGAGGCCTGTGGCAATATTCACCATATATTTTTATCTTGGGCATCCAGGTTCCTGTTCATTTTCCCCCCATCCTAAAAGTGTCTGTTCGCTGCTGTTGAGCATCACAGTGTTGTTTCCATTTCTCTTACTCGCAGGTTGTGGCCGCAGAAGGAGAGAGGAATGCCTCTAAAGCCCTCAAGCAGGCCTCCCTGGTGCTGACCGAGTCCCCAGCGGGTCTTCAGCTGCGCTACCTGCAAACATTAACTACGCTGGCAGCAGAAAATAATTCCACCATTGTCTTCCCTCTGCCTATAAATATGCTTGAGGCTTTGGGGCAGAAAAACAGAGGGGGATAAACACTTTTCCATTCTAGTTGCTCCCTAAACTTAGAGATGTTATTCCAGAAATACTAGTAGAATTACTGAATGATTTGCATGTGAGCAAAACAGCCAATTTTTATCATATATAAGTAATATGTAGCAGTTGCTTTACTGGCTTCAACAGTTTTGCTTGCATAAAAATATTATAAGAATCAAGACTTTGATTTATATGCTCTTTGGCATATCACTGAACTTTCTATCAGCTCTGTAATAAAAGGAAGAGAATATGTGTCTGGTATTATAGTCTTAAACTTTCAAAAACTAAGCCAACCTTGAGGAAATTGAACTTCACTGTATTACTTTACGCATCTTTCATTCCATCCCACAGGAGTTCTCTTATCCTCCTTGCAGATGTCTTAACATGATGATACAGGTCGGTTTTCATAATATGAGACTTAGCCACTTTTCATCTTTGCTGTGCTGGCAGTCGAGTAGGAGATTCTGGTAACATCCGAGTTCACAGCCTTCAAAAATGGCTGGGCAACTCATGTGTCTGACATGCTGTTGGGCTGTCTGCAAATGAATCTACATGCTTTTGTGGTTTGCTTGCCTCGTATCTCATCCTCAGATGGCCCACCACTGTCCCCTTCTACACAGTAGGGTCATCAGATTGCCACATTAACTTTGACGTATCATTTCTGGTATTGCACAGAACTATCTTAACTGCAGAATAACACAAGCAGTCTAGGTGGCAAATCTGTGGACTCACCAGTCAGTGGCAGGAGAAGTGGTGTGAACATCTGAGGATGGGAGCCTGCTCCACCAACACAGCATGTCCCTGCTGTTCATCTCTGCCTCAGGCAGATACACTTGGGGCAGGAATGCAAATAAAACCTATGTTCACTTGTCATCCTAGCATATGCATCAATGCATTTTTTTTTAATGGGCACTGCTGTTCTAGGAGAAGAAAGGTTTGAGTTTGGGGATTGTTGATGTCATCTTAATATATTATTTGTGGAAGCCTTTATAACTGTGACATCAAAACTCCCTACCTGCTGACAAATTTTACATCTCCATGAATGCTCTCTGCGTATCACAGAAGCAGCAGTGCTTTTGAGCCCACAAAGCCATGGATTGCTTCAATTTTCTTAAGGTAATGCAAATTAATTTAATTCTTTGAAAGATAGGAGAGGAGAGGAGAGGAGAGGAGAGGAGAGGAAAACTTGAAAGATCAGACTACAGAGTGTAATTAAGAAGTATTTTGTGCCCTCAGTGCGGTACTAGCACTAACTAGCCTGTGCAGGGCTCCTGGGTCACAATACACATTCTGTCCAGTTCTCTGTCCATGATGCTGAGCCACTTCCAGTTTCAGCTGCTTCATAAGTGCACATGGGAATTACTGCTACAAGTGAGGTCATTTGTTCCACTATTAAAATTAGAAGACAATTGACATGCTGAAGCATGAAGTTAGTGTCACTTTTCTTTCAGGAGTATTTTCACATAAGTGAATGTGATAAGCCCACAAATGACCAGTATTCTTCCTGATCCATGCAAATTTCTTCACCTCTACTATGGTAATGACAGGGGCAGCTACCAAAATCGTGATGAAAAACACTCTTTACACTTGATCCCTTTTAATTGCATTGTTGAGTTATAGACAGGGAGACAGGAATTCCTACTTGCTCTCAGTCAGTAGTAGAGACAATAAACACAATAATTAGTACAATAACTGAAAATTTTGACAAGGTATTCATGGACATATACATTAACAGGAAGATATTGCATTCAACAATTTATTCTGTCTAAGAGAAGGACAGATAGCAACGAAAGCAGCTCTGTCACGTTTCAGGTGTCTGTGTCATCTACAGGCTTTGTAAGAGAAGCAGAAGCAGAATCTGAATTGCAGAGACACGTATTGGATTTGGGGAGCAGCACAGTTTTTCAGAAGTGGCACAGGAAGTCATGCCTGTTTAAGAAGTCCTGCAGATGGATGCAGGCCTGCCGCTGAAGGGTTGCTTGGCACATGCTGTTTTCTGGAATTTGCTCCACCCAGGTTTGTGAATCAAGGAAGTACTGCAGCCTAAGTGAAAATGGAAAAGATAACGGAGGTGATTCATTACTGAACAACTGGAGAGCATGAGCCCCATGAGACTGTGTCTTTCTGCTGAGCCATCTCCAAGGGCAAGCTGCCCCACTGGCCAAAACTAATGTCTGAAATCTGGATCTAGTTTCATCAGTAGGTTAAATGAGATTTGAATAAAGTTTAGTAAAGCTCCATGCCATGTTAGGACAAGCTTGGCTGTGTTTGTATTTGGATGGTGATACCAGGCAAGTTTGGGCTAATTCTGTGGAACATCATAAAAATCCACATCATCAACAATGAGACACAGTGAAGGCTCCTGTGTCATATACTTCAACACAGCAAGTCAACAAGTCAAATCAACAAGATTTTTCCCAATTTTTCAAAATATTGCATATTTTTATTTGGTGAGAAGCCATGTTACTTCTGACATTTTATAATCGGACTGGAGAAAACCTCAAAGGTTACACCTCTGTTGAAAAAAAATCTGTTCAAATGGTCCTCTTAACTTAAGTACTCAAGTAGTTTTCAAACAGAAGTGTAGAGAGGGAACCCTTAAGGCTTAAATACCTATAGAGAAAGTCTATCTCCAATATGCTTTTTTGTTTTGGCATTTTTTTATTAGATGCTGAGAAATTAGAAAAATGTGCTATACATATAGATGATATAAAAGAAGCTTTGAGAGCTTCTTGTAAACACAGGTCCACACATTTATTCCACAAATTCACAGATTGTGCAGGGCATTCAGAATAGCTAAAGCAGTGCAGAATTTCCCAGCTCTCCTTTCCTGACTGTGAGGTTTTTTAACCCAGTAAAACAAGGGCCAGATTTTGATGCTGAGAAGTGTGGGAACTAACTTCTGCACACTCAGATGTGCTAGTAGATTGGACAGCCATGCTATTCCCTGCAGAGAAAACTGTTCTTTTGCTTATAGTCTGCCTATACACGGTGGTATTCTGAGCATTTTAGTAAAGCCAGTAGAATCAATCCCAAAGAGATTTGGACCTTCCCTTGCTTCCTGATGGCATTAGGATTATTTGGGTACCCTTTGGATACACTGGTTGTGGCAACAGCCACAGCTCAGAAAATATTGCACTTGCCTGTTTTTGTCATCAACTGTATGTCCATCCTTTCCCATCAGGAGGTACCGTTTGCCCATTTCCATGTCTAACTTGCAAGAGGAGCGCTTAAGGAACTGTCGTTGAGCTCCCACATAGATGTTTTCATCAGCAGCTGTGGCGTGAAAAGAGGATGCTCCATAAACACATTTTCTAATAAAGAGTAGGACCATTGCCCACAGGACACAATCCCATATGATCCTGCGCAGTACTTCTAATGCAAGACAACATTTCAATCAAGAGTTTCTGCTTGACATGGATGTAAATGGTCATCCTGTTGGTAGGATACTATGCTCTCAACATTACATAATTAGAATGAGTCTGAGCTGGTTGTCTTGGCCTCCTCCATCGTTACTGGGAAAAGATTCCCTTCTAAGGCATGAGACATTGGAAAAAAACAGAATACTATGATAGACTTGTCAAATGAAAAAGAGAGAAAATTTCTGTAAAACAAAATTAAATATAAATTACCATAATGATCCAAACTGCACAAGAAGAATTAAATTGGAATAATTTTTTCAAGTCCTGAAATCAATAATGAGAAGTATAAAACCGATTTTGTACTATATTGCAAGAGCTATAGTGTTTCTCTAACAGACTCATGGGACATAAATGTTAAGTCAAAACACAAACACTAATTCTTCTAATAATCAGAGGAGTGTGCATGCACAAAATTCTCTTTTGATATCTCCTAAGCCAAATAAGTTTTTATATATCTCATCTGAACCAATGTTTTCTTTCCAAGGATTGATACTGAAATAATGCTAGGAGTCCAGAGAACAAGATGCCACCCAAATAATTCTCATCTACTTTTGATGCTAGCATAATGTCACCACAACACCTTATTCTGCTCCCTGCTATCACCATTTGATTTGCTCCAATAACTCCGAGAGAAACTGCAGCCTGGATGGTAGGACTTGATTCTAGCTAGCTAACTGGAGAACATATGTTTATTTATAGGAAAGGTATGGGCTGGAATAAGGAAAGTATGTCATTCAGTGTCATCTTTTAGTCAAAGTTTAGGTACAAAATGCCATTCTCACTTAAAAAATAAAAGATCTTTCCAATGATTGCCCGTGAATCGTAAGAATAAAAACAATGAGACACAGAGTTCTAACTTCTTTAGATCATGTAAATTTTCTGGAGGCATTAATGAACCTTTCTATCAAGGTATTGTAATCTCCCAGAGATGCTCACTTGGTACATTATCATTTCCCCTGCATACAGAAAGCACTGGCTGTTACTCATGTATCTCTGGACTAATAAAGTCCGGATTTGATCCTCCCACAGTAAGTGGCCTTTGGGCAAGAATCACAAGTTCTGTACCACAAAGTACATGGTGGCATCACCAGTCCTCTGGGCAGAGATCACGGAGTGAGATGATTATTCTAGTCAAGGCATGGAAAATCTGGGAACTTTTAAAGCCTTTCTTTAAAGGCAGTCTCCAGACTGCCACATGATTCAATGCTATTTGAAATCTGAGATGTCATTTGACAGCTTCTCCAGAAATTACTTCAAAGAACGGCAGTGTTCCCTGATGCTGCTTGTGAAATAAAGTTCGTTCTGGGACAGTTGGGATGGTGAGCCTGCAGAAGGACACTGCCTGAGAACAGTGCCGATTTTCTCAGGATAAGCAAAGAAACAGAAAAAGGTCTATTTTGTTGTTTTTATCACAATTATTAAATCAAAATTTCAGAAGTTTTCCTGTATTCACTGGCTTCAAGCAAGTCAGCGTGGGAACTCTCAGCATGTTTCACAAAGGTCACGTGCTGAGTCCTTACTAAGTATTTGAGTAACAAGCTCTTCAAATCTTAATTCCGCCTCAAAATAAAGGTCACTGAGTATGCTTATATCAGGAAAAGAATGAATTGGTTAGAAAGTTGTATGGAGTGAAATGCTTGGTGCTGAGGATCTAATATCCACACTGTGCATATTTTCAGAGAGTTTATTTTAGACTAGCTCCAGTGGAGTCCACTGTCCTGATATGAATTCCCCATTAACAGCCAGAAGGTTCAATGGCTTTTCTGGTTCAATTAAATCTGAAGGGATGTGCTGGGGTTGCTGCACAATGTGAACCAAAGCATGGGAAGTGATCAGCAGCCTACCCCTGAGCTGAGCTAAACCCAATGAGGCTCACCCAGCAACTCTTTCAATAAATAATTCTTCTTGAAAGCTTAATAGATAAGAGTATCTTACCCTATTTTCTCACGCAAACGGAATCCACACGACTCATGGTTGTTATCATGCAGATTAATCAAGTTTTGCTGTAGGTTAACGCAAGTGCTCAAGCATTTTGATACTTACTGATTTTAAGGATTCTCTGGATTTTGGCCTCATAGTAGTCAAAAACATTTTTTTGTGTGCTGTTAAGGAGCTCTACTTCATACACTGCAACAGACAATAATTGTGTGAGGCCAGATGAAAACATGAGGTTGAGTCCAAGATTTAAAATAAGTACTCCTTCACCATTATCAGTACAGTCACATATTTTACCCATTCACCAGTCCTGGGAATTAAAAACATAATAGGATAGTATTTCACTGTACCTAATATGCTTTCAAAAAGATGGGAACTAATCAACAGCTCCTAGATTTATATTCCCTTTGCCATTTGTTTTAGGGGCAGGTACTCTATGTGTTGGGTTCCACCTGTGCAGAGAAAGCTGCTCTTTTTCTCTGTTCCTCTGTCAAAGCTCACCAAAGCTACTGAGTCAGGTTTCTATCAACAACTCTTCCAAATTTTCATCCAAAGAAGAGGCCAAAAAGGCAAATTAACAAAGGGGGAAATAACAACAGAAGAAGCTACAGAGCTATAAGATGCCATATATTGCAATCTAGTGCTTATGGCCCTCGTGTAAACATAGAGATCATGAGGATGGTGGTACTCACTGGTCTTTTCTAACACTTCTAATGCAAAGGTATAATCTCTTCCTTCCCTCAGAAGGCTACAACATCTTTCAGAGACCATTCCTTACCCTTTCCCTCCCTATAGGACTACTGTAACACTTGGCTTCATTTCATCTCCTCACCCTCCAAGCCAGATAGAGAAGCTGTTCTTTCTTTTTTTAAGGAGAGGTCTCTGAACATAAAACTCCAAACTTGTTATTTATCCTTATACTTAAAAAGCAATATGTTTAAAATACATTGACTTTTATCTTTCATGTCTTACCATAATCTGCAGTAGGGTTGTAGCACACAAAGTTCACACGTGCACTTGTTACAGCTTTACTGAAAGTTGACCTTTGTCTTGGACAGGGACCTAGAATGAACAACATAAATTATGCATCCATCTCTGTAGGTCTAGATATTTAGACAGATACAGCATACACACAGTCAATATTATAACAGAGAGTATAATAAAGCAGAACAACTTTTTTCTTTGATGATGGAAAGTTTTTACACTCATATATATTTATATTTACATATATCTTATGTGTAAGTATCATATAGATCCTGAATATCTGTAAAATAACGGTTATGAATGTGGTACCAAGCATACAAGTGTCTAGCATACAAGCTCTATGTCATATATTATGCATTGAGTTAAATTTAGAGATCAGGATTGTTCATTTCAGACTTAAAAATGACATATTAATGATTCTCAGGAGTTGCTATCTTTTAGAAGAACTTATTTGGCAGTTCAATACCTTCTGCACACTGGCAAACATCCGCGTGGCACATCTTCGAAAGCATTGCACTGTGCTGGGGTGCACTATAGAATATGCTGCACTTTCTTTCTATAGAAAAGAAACAGAGTAAGTTGTCTTAGAAAGTTCCAGTGGAAGAGATTAAGCAGCAGAAACTACCTCTGAAGCCAAACTTTGCCCTGGTCCAGAGAATTCAGAGCACTAAGGAGTTAGACGCATGTGAACAGTCTACAAAGGACTGCAGTCTACCCTGCCTTCTGTTCAATTTGTTTAAGTTTTAATCTTCCTTTTCCTTTTTTTGATTGTTACCTCCTATAAGTATCCATCTTAAAAGCCTCTGTAGACCATAGGGTTGCAGTGAGCCCTACACCATTTTAGAAGGATGACAGACTCAGCATCACTCTCGTACCTGGTACTCTTAGCCATCAGAGAGAAAAGTCAACATGAACCAAGCTTTGGGCGGTGTACACTCCCAGGAATCACTCAGCTTCAGTTAAAGTAAAGATTTCACCCTATATTTCCATGATTGTGGAAGATGAGGAGAGTTTGAATCTAATATTCCTTGAATAGTGGATGAGATAAATTCCTCAGAAACACTTAAGCCAAACCTCTGAGGTTGCTGCTCTCAGATGCATAGAAAGACACACTGAGCAAAATGATAATGTGAATGGAATATCCTTAAAAACACTATGGAAGCCAAGAAAACTGATTTTTTAAAAAAGTCACAAATGTAAAAATATGTATTTTCAATATATTTGTAATGACGGACCTTTCCTAAAATATTGTCAGTGTTGGAGCTGACTGGATTTAATTCCTGAAAGATTGCCTTTCTAAACAGTGGCATATTGGTTTATTTGTTCCTTCAAGCTAGCATACCAGGATTGTAAAAATCATAAAGGATGGCATTTGCTGGCTGAACAAGCCCCATGGGATTGATTTGCTTTGCTTCGAATGATATGCAGTCCGGTTCTGGTCCAGTTGTGATCTGGAGAGGAAAGGAACAATAACTGTGATGAGTAAAAAAACACATTGTCCCGCTTGTGCCTCTATAGGCTGCTGAACGATTATTTCTGATGGGGGAGGTAAGTCAATTCTAGAAGCTGTCGCTTCATCTTTACAACCATTCTCTTTTTTCCCCTCCCATTAATTTCTTGGGAGATTTTTGGGGTGAGCTAAGTCTGGTAAAGGCATTTTTTATGAGATATGTGCAGCACACTGGCTTATCCTGACTCAGATTATCACTATTTTGAAGTTTACTTGAACAGGTACAGGTCAAATAGTTGGTCAAAGCTTAACCTATACTGGGGGCTGCCGTGTTTTGTGGCAGTATGCGCTCTTTCCACACTTTCCACAAAATGGTAAGATCAGGGCGACCTGACCAGACCTACTTAACAGAGTTTTTGACCTATACAGCTTCTCTAGGACAGTCCTAGCAGAAATAATGTTTAAAATTTTCTTTTGACTGTTGTCTTCTCTTTAAAAAAGCAGTGTAAGCCTTCTGTAGGGATCACCTACTACTGGCTACAGCAGTGGAGCATCTCAAGAGGGTATAATCCAAAAACATTATCCAAAATATGGAGAAATATATATTAGGGAGCTTAATGACTCCACTTATTTGTTATTGCATGGATCTTGATTCAGAAATGTGCTTTGCATGCAAGGTATCCATATGGAATTTACAGGATCATGAGATAATACTTTGGTAATCATGGACCTCCTGTATTTTAGCAACTGTTCTTAGCTAGAAACGAATCCTTTATTTTATTTTTTTTTTTTAAATTAATTAATTAATTAATTATTTTTTTTTTTTTTTGTCTGAAGCCTGAATCTCCAATGTGGGCTGCATTTATGTACTATGTATATACTATCTCACCAGGCAGCGGTTGAAAAAAATCCATTGAGTTTGCTTACCTCACCAAAGTAAAGCAACACCTTTCCTTCCTTGTGCTCAAAATGCTGAATATATTTGTCTGAAGACGTTACCAACTGCAGTAAAGGAAACAAAAAACAACAAAAAAATCTATGAGGTCAGAAATACCATCACTGTCATCCACTATATACTGATTTCTAACTGGTTGCTTCCTTGTTTATTTTTCCCCACAGGAAACAGTCCCTAAGAATCTTATTTGGATACAGAACCTAAGTAAATATGGTGAGGATGTGTTTTAAATTAGTGAGGACAGTAATATATGTAAACATATGCACATATTTAGGTGTCATCTTGAGCCTTTGCCTGTTTTTTACTGCAAGGAACTCCCTAAGAAGTCTGGACTCTACCCAAATTACATCTTAACCTCATCTTGTCTTGCATATATTCAACATTATTTTTTTGTCAATACAGGAATGTTGAAAATATGTCTATTCCAAACCTGATTTTCCCTTCCTTATTTGGTGGACTTTGGGAAGCTTTCTGCAGGAAATTTATATAGAAAAGGATATAAAAGCTTGCGCAGAGAAGCATGTTTCTCACCTGTTCAAGTTCCTTTGTGTCAGGTTCCAAGCCACTTAATAGAGAAAGATCAACAAGAGACATCTTTGGCACATTGGCACTTGCAGACCTTTATAAAGGAGACTGTCATTAGTGGACATTTACACTGAACAGCTAATCTTGGTCTGAAGAATTTAGGTCTTTAACTTTGCTAATGATGAAGCAAAGGGTATTGTTCAATTTAACTTCCCTTAGTGAATTTTAACTTGAAACTTATCTACCGGATTAATAAGAGTTACATGGCAAAATTAGTTATCTAAACTAGTTAGCTTGTAATCTAAAGCCAAGATGTCTTGCCTTGCCAGCAATGTAGCTGATAGGCAGAAACAATCACCTTCAAAGCACAACTCAACTCATGCTAAAAACACTGTTGAACATATGGAGGATAAGCAGCATTTGCAAAACATCTATTCTTACTTTTTACCTAGAGGGGAGGCCAAGAGACTAGCTTGTCCTAATTCTTAATGGACAAAGCTATATAAACTACTCCTGCCTTTGATGTTCTGGGCTGAAATCCTCCTTGACCTAGCCATCTCCTAACTATCTCCTTTATATATATAGAGAGAGAGAGACATCAATATATGTATTGATGTGTATGCATATACATCTATCTATCTATCTATCTATCTATCTATCTATCTATCTATCTATCTATATATATACACACATCACCCGTCAGACAGATGGGGCAGAATCTGGAACTGGCTGCTCATGTTCTGTGCAAACTGGCTAAATCTCTTGCCATGGAAGAGAAAATGTTGATTTGCCCTGTATATGTGCTTGCAAGCTGAATGCCCAGCTTATTGATTTGAAGGCCATGACCATGAATTCCCTGAAAAAATGAATGCATTTTCTAATAAAATCTTCCAATCTGCAGACCTACCTGACACAGACTTTGTAGCGCAGGGATTCTGTTTTCTTGGAAGAGATCACATCCCTTTTCCTTCTGTTGTGGATATCAAACCACTCGATATCAAGTAGTGGCTCATGCTGAGTGGCTTCTATAGCAACAGACTCATAATCATAGTTTTCATAGGCATATTCAGCATCTGGAGGTGGTAGACACAATCAGCCTAATTAGCTTCAGCGGCTACTTTGTCTCCTTTTTCTGTGTAATTGTAAGGGTGGGGAGATGGAATCTCTATGACTGTTCTCCATTACCTTACTTCAAATACATTCTAAATTAAAACCTTAGAGGTAATTATAGTATTGTTATCTGTCATTATCTGTCGGTGTTAACCAACAGATCTAGCTGTGAATGGGGTTTAAACAGTCATGTTTAAAAAAAGGGAAAAGACAGTCTCATCAATATAAAAAATAGCAATAATGAATCTGTCCCAAATAATTTTTAAGGTCACACAACAAGTCCCTTATCAGTCAGGGAGCCAAGCTGAGCTTTTCCTATGTGGCAGTCAGGATAACCATCAAGAGAGATTATCCAGCTCCCCTCCCAACAAGAACTGGGAGTTGTTAATACTATTGATATATCTATTAGGTAACCTCTGCATCTACAGTTACCCAGAGAGCTGTTAAACCACTCAATATTATTAATAAACTGAATGTAACAAAAATATCAATAAGAATGTAACAAAAATATCAATAATTGTGCGGGTTCTAAGACTACTCTCTTACCTTGTTTCACTCATTTATTCCCATTTCACAAGGCCAAAAAGCCATCAAATATAATTAACTGTAGGCTGAGCCTTTAAGACTACTTACTCGTTTTACTCACCAGCATATTTGACGACTCCTTCCATTTCTACTGTCAAAATCAGATCATCACATTTGCTTTCCTTCAGCTCAGAAGACTGGTACACTTTTAATATCTAACACAAAAACACAAAGAGTAAAGCCCTAAAAATACCATTTGAGTGACAAGAATTTAACTCAGGATTTTTTTTTCAGCAAATTGCTGGTGTGACATAGGGGTATGAAGAGGAATATATACTGTGCAGAGTATGAAGAGGAAAACATACCATACTCCCTGTTCATACTCCTGGAGGCACAGGCTAGTTTTCATACCAGAGGTGCAGACTGTTTTCAGAGGACTGTCATGAATATAGAGGGCAGGAGAACCTCTATGTGCATATCCCATGGTCCCAAATCATAGGGCTCACGCCCTTTGAGATAAATCTCAAATACAAAGGAATCTTTCAAGTTTCAGACACCTCTATCAGTGGGTTATTCTCATTGGGTACTTTCCGAAGTTAAGAAGTAGTAAAATTGACCATCTGGACAATTTCTATATTTTAAAGTTTTGGGCTGGGAACACAAAGGATGAGGCTATGGGAAGTATTTTTTGGTCTGTTTTCAAAAAGTAAAAAGTCCAAGTAAGTTATGAATTTCTGGGTCACATCTTACACTCATAGTCCCGTTTCCTCTGCCTTCCACAGACACATGAAGTTGGCTCCCAAGATCAAACTGCAAATGAAGGTCAAAAAAAAACAAAGTAGAGATTCAGTGTGTACTGAACAATTAAGCTATTTTTTTTTCTTGGCTTGACACTCTTTCTTGCCTCTTCCCAGCAGAACTGGGGTATGAAAAATCTGTACTCTGCTCAGAGCTACGGAAGGAGTTAGAGATTCCGCATTTCCAGGGCTGGAACATTTTAATTGATTATTCCAGTGCTCAGGAGATGTTTTTCCCAACATTAATCTCTCCTTTGCAGGGTGTTTTCACAGGTCCTAACACTTTGTATGTCAGACAATTCCCCTGCTTCCTTTTAGCTCATTCTCAAGGAAAATTTTAAAGAGGTTTGTCTTTGCCATAGGGGAAAATTCAGGACTTTGTCATCCTTGAAGAGGCAGAAGAGGCCCTATAAATACAATGAGTGTGCAGCTAAACAGCTATGGATTTTTATTTATTTATTTATTTATTTAGTATTTAGAAAGACTAATTCTTTACAGGTTAAATTATTGAAAAATATTACCCAACTGCATCATGGTTGCTTAACAGAAGGAAAGAAAACTGAGATGATCCAGTATTTCTCCTGTTTGAGGAAAAGAAAATCTCACACAAATGGAGGGTTGTGTACCTCTAATGCCTTCTGAATTTCTTCGTCTCTATCAGTCAAAGCGATCAGATAACTCTTTTGCCTTCCAGGTGTTTCTACTCTAACACTCAGGCTGCCTGAAGAAGTTTCCAATGCCTGTATGCTATATGCTGACAGAGCCTCCAGGGCTACCACTGTGTCCTAGGTGAGATAGGAATGAAAAAAAATTATGCCAGTTATTGCAACAATAGACAAGAGGACATGACCAATCACCTGACGCTATTCCTCAGTTTTATGTTTTTCCTGCTTTGAATATTTCCTGGTTTCATTTGTCCTTATCTGCACAGACTATTCATTTAAATTTCCACCCTCTTCTTTCATTATTAAAATCCTAAAAACACTGCAGGCCTGAGAACTTATTATATCTTCATAAAGACAAGCAATCTCCGTTAGCTCCTAATACCTTTTATTAAAGGTCCAAAATCTTTGTGTGCCTCGGGAGCTGAGGAAATTCAAAGAAATTCAAGATTATTATTTTTCTTAGTGCTTTTGAATGAAAATAAAAAAAAAATTGTGGAATCTACATTTTCTTTCACCCTCTCAAATTCTAGGGGCTGATGGTCATGTACCTGTGTAGAGCAGAATCCTCCACCATAGTTCCTTTTCTCCGTCAGCCATGTAGCAATAGGCCTTGCATAGTCCATATCCCTCAGGAGCAAGGTTTGAAGCAATGCATAGGCAGTGGCTTCCACTGAGACTGTATCTCTGCCATTTCCCCAGTAGCGCTGCTGCTTTTCTGCAAGAGTAACTCAGGCTTGAATCCAGTTGGGAAAGATATTTGCAAAAAAATTACTACTATTTGCATAAAAGATATTTTGTGTCATAGTATGGATAAATCAGAAATCATAGATTCTATCATGAGAGCAACAAACCAGTTTGGAAGAAGAGAGAGTGGAAAAGGACAAACATATTAAGTTTTCAACACTGTCTTATCCAATGATCACAGACTGTTGATCCCATTGTACAGAAGTGTCCATCCAATGAAGTGATGGCACTGTCTCAGATGGTACCAAAAGTATTATAGCATTAATTATCATATTAATTATAGTATGAAGTATTAATAAGTCCAGGCATTTACCAGAGGAATTTTGAGAAATAGATAGCCTTGTCATTCATCCACACAATGAAGCGGCTCAGTCTTGACTGCAGCTGCAGACCAGATGGAAAGAAGTGACCTCTGTGGTGGGTGGGAGCAAAGCTCTTAGGATTGGTGAGGGGTTTAGGAAGTAAGTGGGCTGGGACAGACTTTTCACTTTTGTTGGCAAATCTGTTTTAAGACTGCTCCCACATGTAGCTGCTCAATCCTGCTGCCCACCAAAGGTTTCAGATTTCTCAGATGAGATGCTCAGTATGAGCATTTTCCTGCCTCAGTCCCAGGGAGAGGAAACTTTGATAGGAAATGAGGAAATGGAAAAGAGGAAGCAGGAAACATCTGAATATTTACCATGGTTTTCTTCCAACTTTAGGATCAGCTAAGATTGCAACACAAAATTCAGAATCCTAAGCTGTTACTTTAAAGTGATGTCAAGCAAATAAATTGCATATTTTGATTTAAAAAATCAAAATATGTGATTATGTGATTTCTACAACTGAGTATACTACACAAATACATACACTTTCATGACATTAAATGGCTATCATTTACTTGAATTTGCCCTATTCATGTAGCAGAATGTGTAGTAAATGTTTTCATTAGGAAGACCTTTTTCCAAGTTTAATTTTTAAAAGAAAAGTTACTAGTACCTTCATCAAAAGAAGAACACCCTCTTAATTTTTCTGTTGCCCATTTGGCTTCATCACTATGGGACTGAACAAGTGTCAGAGCATAAGCAGTGATGGCTGTAGAATAGAAGTTCAAGTTTCTTGAAAGATAGTTTTTCATGTAAGCCACGGATTTTGTAATCACATCCATCTGTGAAAACAGAAGAGAACCTTTTGAAAAAGTGGTCCAAAGCTTGTAAGTGATAACGCTGATATGAATCCCAGGAAATTAGAATAATTCAGTGTGACCATTTTGGAGATAAATTCATTGTGAATTTATCAATTATCAATACATTTTGATTAAAACCATTAATAATGGAGTGTCCAACTCAAAATACTTGTTGTACATTAGGCTACTGTGTCTGTTCTTGCCCATCTCTGATGCAATAAGCAGACTACTCCCTTCCCATTTGCAGTACTTAAAAAGGAGGGTGACGTGCCATTGTTCAACAGGCTTCAGATTTAATACAAAATTAAACCTTCTTACCGCAGCAGACGACTCGTTATAAACTGGTAGAGACTGTTGCAATGCAATGATTACAAAGGCTGTCAGAGCCAGATCCTCTTCTTCTGTCTTAATGCCACCCTAGAAGACAAGGCATGTAAAGGAAAAACTAAGCATACATGAATTTGCTTATGAATGGTATTGTTAATGTTTTTAAGCTAGAAAATCAGTTATCATGAACTCAAAGTCTCTCTTGTTACACCATTTGACTACATTGCGTTCACCTTTTAATTTTGCTCAGTAATGTTTATCTGCCTAAAGAGGCCAAGGCCATGATTATCCCAAACTTAGTCAAAAAATAAAGCTCTTGAAGTACTAGCTATGCTTCTCTGACTTAATGCATCTTTATTAGGGCATTACATTACTAGTTTTGTGCTAAAGTTACTGATTGTTTTTATTTTAGATGAATTAGTTAATACTTAACAAACAAGAATATTCCTTTCTGTCCCTAAGAACCTTAAATGTGCAATGAATTTTTCAAAACCCTGAAGACTCACCTGCATATTCCTGTCAAGTACCGGGTGAGGGTCATGGAAAGAATTATCTGCCTGCTGATTATTAAGCAAGTAGGTAATTGATTTATGTATGTGACTGTCTTGCACACTAATGTATTCTCTGCTTCTTGCAAGTACTTTAACAATGAATGCAGTTAACCTACATGAAAGAAAACAAAATTTACAAACTTTTGTTGACATGTATGGATGACTCTGTGCAAAGACTCAAATGCAACACAGTGAGCTCATTGGAATCTATGTACTATGCATGTATAATGCACTATACATATATAATGCACTAGGCATTATAGCTACCATGACAGTATGAGCCCTCCTACCCTGTGGCATATGCAAGTTAATCTATGGCTAAGTTAATCTATAAGCCTGTGTCATAAAGGACTAAACCTGCTTGGAGACTTGCATGACTGACCATCTGTGATAAAAGTACATAGGCAACATGATGTCCACCAGATTTTGAAAATCAAGTCCAAAGCCCTCAAACAAAACTTTTGATACACCAAATTATATTTATTTATATAAATATAAATATAAATATAAATATAAATATAAATATAAATATAAATATAAATATAAATATTTATTTATATAAATATAAAATATTTATATTTTTGATACATTGTATTATATTGAAAAAGTAAGGAAAAAAAGGCTGATTATGAAAGTTACATTTACCATACACTGCTGGGGATTGATTTAAATGCTCCATAGGAACCATCATCTTTTTGAAACTCAAGCACCCTAGTATAGCCTGTAGTAACAGAAAAACATATATACTGCTCAGAGAAAATGCATGTTTGTTAGGCATTTCCATACGTCTTTTGTCTTAACAAGGGGACATGCAGTACTGACCAGTGGAAGAGCACATGAAGCTGTTCTCTAGTATTCTAAAGAAGAAATGACTGAGTTGACTTCTTAAATAGATGAAAATCTTAGCTTAGACGCTGTTGTTTGTTCTAAGGTGAGCCAAGAGAAGAATCTGAAAACTGCAGACAGCTGTAGATATGTGGATACCAAGCCATTTTCTGCCTGGTGAATCTTAGGGATTTTTTTCTCATACAATCATCTTTTTTAATACTGACTTTATGGAGCATAGAATCAAAAAGGATGCAAAACTTCACCTACAGGCTCAGACACAAAAATCAGGAGCTGTGGACTCTGTTCTTCATTATGCTGTTAGCTTGACAAAATCTGTATAGTTTCTATAAAACTCTTTTTCTGCCCCTGTGAATTTCTTTAGTAAGTGTCAATAAAAGCACGAAGGGACTGAATGCAGTTGATAATAAAAATATTCATCAATAGGATCTCATTTTGCCTTTAGGAACCTTGGGCAAATGACTAAAGGCCTATACTCTGTAACTGTTGGCATGTGTTCTTAATCTGTATTTTTATTCTTAGTCTTCATTGATGATTTCTGTGTTGCATAAGATCTGAAGCTCATAGGTGCACTATATTGCTTTAAGCCATATGTAAACCTTTATAATTTGGAAAGATCAGCTGTACTTGCTATATTCCTGATAACTCTTGTGATTTCTTTAGTGTCTGTAACCTGCAACATCTCCACTTTCATGTGCTATGACCCCGGCTTTGTGGTGTATAAAGCACCATTTGTGGATGGGCTTGCAATGGACTCTTCAAGGAGCAGGCTTACAGTTGTCTTCTCCTGAAGGAAGCTTCCTCCCTGGCTTGGTCCAAGGCTGTTAGAGTCATTCTAGCCCATGTGATAAATATGGACCAACGTAAGAGCAACTGTCTCTGCCATTGGGATTTTCCTTGGTAATAGTTCTCTGGCTAGATGTAGACATTTGCAGCACAGCCACCTACATCTAAGCTGGTCATACTAAGCACTTCTTGTAGGGTGGAGAAGAACTAGGTATTTTTAGGACATGGTTTATCTTGGCCTGTTTTGCAGCTATACATCAGGATGAAATGATTCACTCTTTACAGTTGCCCTGTTCTGTCTAGTAACTATGAAGAGAGATGACAGTGATCAGTTCAGCATTACTGTGAGGGTGCCAGAGCCCTGGAACAGGCTGCCCAGGGAGGCTGTGGAGTCTCCTTCTCTGGAGATCTTCCAAACCCACCTGGATGCCGCCCTGTGCCCCGTGCTCTGGGTGTCCCTGCTGGAGCAGGGGTTTGGACTAGATGATCCCTAGAGGTCCCTTCCAACCTCAACCATTCTGTGATTCAGCTCTTCTTTTGGTCTGCGGAATCCTGCTTCTAAATCAGTCATGGGACAGAGGTGACTGTGACTGCCAATACTACTGCAATGTTAGGTGTAAGAAGTTAGTTAAGCACTTATATCTTTCTTCTCATACCTGTCTACAGACTGTCAATGGTACTTATGGTACTTCTGCATGGCTGTATTAAGATAATGCTCAGTCCTTTCTCAAGAAACAAGGGATATTATGCAATGGGGGAAATAACAAGCCAGTATAGACTGCTTTATGATTTTTTTTTTTTTCGCTGCATACCTTGTTCAATCATCCTAATGGCTTCATCCTTCCGTTCAGGACTAAGGTTCACCCATTGGTCACTTGCATCCAAGTACTCAATAGCAAAGACTGCAGGGGCCATTTTCACCATCGTTTGCTCTGCACAGCCCTTTGGCAACTGGATAAGTTTATCGATTCCATTAGCAGTAAGACAATTCTCTGTGGATGCACCCATAATATCCCCTGTAATAAAAGACATATGTCAAAATACTGCTACTTAAAGCTGTCTTGTGTAGAATGAATAAAATGTGATATTTTAGGTTGACACTCTAGCATGGCATGATTACACTTCCAATTATAAAATACTGTTTTCAGCTAATTATCACTCTGAAAATTAGCTAGACAAGATCAAGAGTGAGAGAACAGGCCTCTGAAATGCTGGAGGAAGGAGGCTGAGGCAAAGAAGGAGTTCAAGAGAGAAAGTCCTGAGGCTACTGGAGGCAGAGAAGCAAGAAGAGTGAGAAAAACTGGTGCCTCAGGTTCAGGCTGGATAATGCTTGTCAAACCAGACTTGTTTCTCCTTCAGAACACAAAGAATATGGTCCTAAACATGTCAGATATTTGGGGCATGTTTTTTCTATTATTTTATTATTTGATGAGTTCAAGCATCCCCCTGCTTTAGAATGGAGACTGGAAGTAGGTATCTTTTATTTTATAGTTCCTAGGAAATCTTGTCTCAAAATTAATATGTGTGTATTTGCTGTTAGATTTCATTAACAAATATATGCATGCATATATATATTTGATTAAATGAATATATGATTATAGATATCTTAGGAAATCAGACCTTTCCAGAACTTATAGATCAGAATCTGACATCTTAATTTCTGAAGAATTTAGTGGGGCTTCAAAAGGACTATTTGTTGTGTAGGGTTAATAGGGTTAAGAAGATAAATACTTTCCTCATTCTCTGGATTAACATAGAGTTAATTTGGGCACAGGGAGGCAGAAGGGACTGCTTGAAACTATTATCTTGTTCCAGTGGTAAGGAGTAATTAGAATGGGTAAAGTAATGGATTAGTTTTGGGGTTGTCTTTATCTATGACTTAGGGATGTAGCACAAAATATTCGGATCATGGCAGAAAACCCAAGAAAGAGTAGATATTAAAAGTTTTGGAGTCAGTAGAATTAAGGTAAGTAGAATTATGGTTCATGTGCCACTTATGGAATGGTTACTGATATAGTTACACTTACCTTTCAGGCTAACAAACACGTGACTGTCAGAATCTGGTACCATGTTAGATGGTTTTCCCAGGTCCAGAGTACGGTATTTGACTGTGGATAAATAATAAAGACTTACACGTGGTTGAACGAAAATAATATTGTAATTTTAGAATGGGCTTTTCATGAAGTGTCTCACAGTTGACAGCGATTATTACAGAAGTATTATAAGAAATGTTAGATGGAAATTTATGAAAAAAAATATTTGTCTTGCTTAAGTATATTTGATTTACATACATCCACAATGTTTGTTGTAGCAAAATGATGAATTTAATTTCACTTTTTAACCTCCTGGTTAAGATGCTATAATAATAACAGAATGACACATTGAAACAGAGAAATAATACAAATCTATTCTAAAAATTTAGAATTAAGTGATTTGGCTTCCCTGAAGTTCTTGGCATTTTACACATGAAGAGATTTGTAACAGGTTTCTGTCAACTCAAAGCAACATTTTCATCTTAAGGAATATTTCCCCACACTTCTTGGATGTTCACATCAGCCCTTACAAAAATGGCCCCTACTTCAAATCTCATCTGTATCTCACTTGTTTTTCCTTATGTAACTTACAGTCACTATTAATGCAAATGGTCTGCTCTTCTCTCTGTAAAACACCTTCAGCCTGTAAAATTGAGAGAAAATAAAAAGTCAAACTTCTTGTAGACTTTCACACCTGAAAATAGGCTATGTGAAACCAAGGTCTCAGTCCTTATAGTGGACCAGCACATGGAAGAAATGGTTTATTCTAGAGTGGGATTTCTCCTCAGGTGAAACTGAAGCTTGAAATTAGAATTTCAGTCTCCCACATGAAATGCTAATGAAATCTACTGACTTTCTTTTGTTATTGTTGACACATTTCCCTGGATGAAATGCAGTAAATCAAAAATAAACCTGAAGAATGAAAGCTTAAAATTTGGTTTTAGTTCAATGTACTGTGCAAGTCATCAGCAGGACTTCATTTATATACTGCTCATCTATGCAGTTCACCAACATCTGACTTTATACTGGTGTAGTGCCAAATTCCGGGGCTGTGTCAATCTCTAGAAAAGCCATGGTTTATAACAATAGCTTCCAAACACACTCAGCTTTATCCTTATTGATGGGACTATTTCATCACATTAATGGTATATATACTTCTGTTATTGTCTTCTTCTATAAGAGTTCTCTCTTCTATAAGAGACATATAATTCTGTTTTTTGTGCAATTTAAATGTGGTCCTCAATGTTCTTCTAATGTGCTGCAATGAGTCCATGCTGCTCAGCACTGACTTATTAGTGGCATCTCCTTTTCATTATTTCAAAAGAGAAGAGCGAGATTAAATAATCAATACAGCATCATTCTTTGCCTTTATGTTCCTCATCTGTGCAACTGTTTAGCTTCAAGATCCATTAACCAGAAGGAATAAAACAGGGTTAAATACTATGATTAGCAGACACTATCTTCCCTCAAAATATCAGTAGATGAACATTTTCCAGCTTGGGTTCATGAGGGGAAAAAAAGGCCTTTTATAAATATTGATGAAGCATATAGAAGCTAAAGACCGTACAGATAATCAAGGACCAAAATCTGCATGAAAAAAAATATGTAACAATTTAGTGGGAGAGCATTGTCTTTTTGCCTTGTGGAATAATTCTTGTGACACAGTAGTCACAAGCCTACCCTGGGGCGAAATTTCTTTCCTGTGCTATAGCATCCTGTCACTCCTTGATGAGAATTAGATTGTTTGGGACTGCTCCCAATCTTATGTTTCTGAGATTTCATTCTCTTCACAAGAGAACATAACACATAATCTTATTTGATACTTATGATGTGCCTGCCCTCTGCTACTCATACTTACCACAACATTGAGCATCTTTCTAATGCTATCACTGTGCCCAGAAATAGGGTCAAAAGCAGTAATGGTGATTGGAATTTCTCCTACAGTCAGAGGAACAACGGAGAAATAGGCTGGTGTTGCCGAGTTCCCTGCAGCCGTCAGCTTCAGCTGTACAGACCTGTCTGTTGTCTCTGCAGTGCACAGCCCCTTCTGTGCAGCCATCTTCACTGTGACCTGCAGAGACATGGCTTGAGATCAGAAAGGAAACAGCAAGATAGAAATTCTGCAAGACAGATTTTTTTTTCCCACTTAGCTCTCTCAAATTTCTTATTCTCTACCTTTCTTTGACTGGGCAGCTGCTATACCTGTACCTTCCTCAAGCAGGCTTCCTGAGGTCCCTCCAACCTGAATTCTCCTAGGAACCTATGGCCTGTTAAGACAACTCAATGCTGAGGAGAGCTGTGGAGGTAAATGAGCTAATATTTATCCATTACTTGGAATATGCAATGTAGTTTTGAAAGATCCCTCAGCCACAGGGAAGTAAGAAAGATAGCACATTTCTCGGTCTGCTCCTTTCAATTCAGTTCAGAAGAAGATGCCAGCCAGCCGGGCTGGAGATAAAAGAAGCAGAATCAGCCCAATAAACCTGGGGACCCCGAGCTGAGTGGTAGCTGTGTGCTGCCAAGACTGGCAGAGAGCAAAAGAGTAGTTCATTGTTTCAATAATATGTAGGAGAATATATGTCCAGAAGACATAGAATTTGGTTGCATAATACAGTAAATGAAATCTGTCTTATATAGCAAGTGTGACAAACAAGCAGAACTGGACCCTGACCTTGGTGAAACTTTCAAAATAGGAGCATGGTATTCAGGTTTTAGGAGGGCAATCAATGGCAGTCAGATTATTTTTATTGTCCTGATACTTATATAACTAGCTAGCTGGTTAGATCTGTGCAGCACAGTAGTCAGTGGCAATACTACCTGGAGATCTTCAGGCAGATAGTTGTAAATAACTGCTTTTATTTCTAGCTGTTCATGTCTTTTAACTGAGTATGGTAATCTCAGGGATATAAAAAAGTCTTTGAAAACCTCAAAGGTGTGAGGATCAGCTATACAAAAACCTGGGATAAGAAAAGAAAAGAAAAAAAAAAAGAAGAGAGACTTGAGAATTAAACACAAAACACAACATTAGTTGTTAGAAATCAGGTGTTAGAAAATCAGCTCAATGCCAGGGTTTCTCTAAGGTGAAGTGCAGGAGACAGATATCTCACCAAAACACCTGTTTTCTTTATTTTCTTTATAATTGTATACACGTAGCTCTTAACTTCTAGTTGAGTTTTGATATGGCATATGTCCAGGACTAAATGCCCTGGTCAAAAGATCTTGCATTTTGCAAAATAGACACTCTATCAAGCTCTGTCAACTTAGCATTGCATCTGAATGTCTTAAATAATACATATTCTCTATTCATCAGTTCAAAGCAATCCAATAAAATAAGAGTAATAATATTTTACCTTTTTGAGGAGATATACTTATTGCCTGAATTTCCCAGGTAGTTATAGAATCAGGAACCACACTTTTTATGCTAAGAAACACAAAATAAATCATATTAAAAAGAATATATGAAATGTTAACATCCTTTGCTGAAGTTTGAGGATTATAAATTAAAAAGCATTCCCTTAGTAGAGGAAACAAAATTGTTGCAAATTTTCTGAATTCTTTGTACCAAATAATACATAAAATTGATGTGAGTATAAATTTTATTATATAAATAAACTTAGATTGATCTATTCAGGCAGTTACCTATGGTTCCCAGGATGTTTTAATTCTTTTAAATTCCACCACCAGCTCTCTGGAAAATAACTACGCAAGGTGATGGAGCTTTCATCAAATATTTCATCTTCATAAAGATCAAAATCTGTAAAACAAAAACTAGAATTAGAAAATCTTTAAAAAAGAAAGCTATTAAAATATTCAAGAAAGACAAAGTCACTCAGAGATGTAAATGAAGATCCCTCTGTTTCTCTGTTCAGCCGTTTGCACCCTCAGGGTGCAGGCAGAGACCATCCTGAAACTCCATCCTGAAACAGGTCTGGTGGCAAACACTGCTACAGATGATTCCTGCCTTTTCTCACTCCAAGAAGTTCCCCTCTCTCACCTTCGAAGTCTGCTGCCCTCTCTGTTGTCCTGGCACAACTAGAGACGGGCACATGGAAACGACCAGACCCTCATAAGAGAACTTCTTCCCTCCCTTGCAGCATTTAACCCCCATTTAGCCCTCCCTTGCCCATGGAAGGAAGGATATTTTCCTGCAATAGTGGCATATCACCAATCTTTACTTCGTGCCAATCCAACTCTAGTTCTTCGTGTTGCCAAGATTTTCCTGAGTTCTGTAGCCTTCTCACAACAGAACTTGAAAGCCTTTTGGCATTCAGCGGAACCAGTAACCCTTGTTAGCCTTTTATCACAAGTAAACTTCATGGGATTTAATTTCATTCCATCCTGGCAACATTTTTGTAGATCAGGGTCTTCATATTTCTTAGCTGCAACATAATTAAAGCCTAGGATTAGTGCCGTGGAAGCAGCAGTAGATAGAAAGGTGTTCATCGTACTTATTCCTATCACTCTTTGCAGTTAATATTGACTGGTATTGCAATAGCTCAGCTGCAGCTGAGACCATTAATTTAATTCCATTAATTTCATTTATTTTTCATTTTAATTTAATTAGTTTTTTCTTTCTTTTTTTCCCCCCTTGGAGCTCTCAGCACCAACACTTGCACGATTTTGAGGCAGAATATCACAGAAAAATAAGACTTAGAAAAAGAATTTTAACCATAAAAATAATTTTCAAAAAATAACTTTCTTCTCAAACAGATCTTGAAGACTATAAAGCCATCTCATTTCATGACATGATTTCTAGTAGAAATTTGCATTTGGGCTTAGGAGATGGTGAAAGTTTTTATTAACATACAGATTAGTTTTTGTTAGTTCTGTTTGTTTTGTTTTGATAAATGTATCAGATTACAGGGATTTTTATACAGCCTTGTATGAAGTCATATCATGTAACACAAGAACTGAGGCTATGAGATTGAGGCTATGAGTATCTTGGTGTCCCACACAATCTCATCACTTCATACCAGATAAATTCCAACCACTTCCCTTTGCCACTTCTCTATGTGTACATACAAATTGCTGAAGTTATCTTCTGGAAATCCAGTGATCTCTTCTGCCTTCTGGTGTTCTGGGGGCACCTATAGCCTGGGAAAGCAGAATAGAAAGCTTTGGTTATGATTGATAGTATCATATTAAGAGTCTGATCTGATAAGTCAGTGCAGACCCATCTCAGATCATCGACAAAACACCTACAGTGCATAGAGTTACATTATAGCCCTGATTGCCCTATCTGAACTCACGAGCTGAGCTACCTGAACCAGTAGTATTCAGTGGAAGAGCAGAAAAAGAAATAGACACATAGAAGAGAAGTCTCATCACAATAAGGAAAAGTTTCTAAATTTTGAACAATCCCTCCCGCCCCGGTATGCAGTGATCTTGTGCTAATGTCTAAAATAAAGGATGGATTGCACCCACCTTCTCGCAGATCAGATTTAATTGTGTCTGATAAATAGGCCAGACCAACATCAGTAAAAACTTGAGCATTATCTGCCCCACCACCTGCAGAACACCCAAGATCGTAGGAATTCATAGCATTAAAGACCTGCCAAATAAAAAGCACAAATGAATGATGCTTGCTTATAAATTTTCTTTTTTTCTTTTTTTTTTCTGTATATATAAACAATATTGTAATCTACTGTACAGTTTTCTATAGAAACAAGACAAACTAGAAGAGGTAGTGGTATATCATTAGTTGATACAGTGAGCTACATTAGTGGTACATACATTTAGCTCATCTTAAATATGTTGTAAATTGCAAGAATAAAAACATTTTTAAGATTATCAAAGCTTTGATTATATAATTAATAGCCATTATTTACATTTTGGTTCTCTCTTTAGGCATAGAAAACTTTGCTTGACTAGTGGACATGATATTTTCTTCTTATAAATATCTTACTTTTCTGGATGTAAGCTTGTTTTTCTTGTTCAGAATAAAAACTGCTCTGTCAACCACAGCCAAGGCAACAATTCCTTCATGGTCCGTTTCAACTAGTAAATTGATGCTATCTGTTGGTTCGTATCTCTCATGTTCTGTTCTCACTTTAATCTAAAGAGGAAATATGTAAACAAAAATGCCATATTGTTAATAAATACAAATAACTTCTGGCCAGGGAATACTTTCAACTGTGACTGTCGGTGGTTGGAGACTGGGGGACATTTTTCACAGAGTATCTGCTTGGTATCCTACCTTTTGGGAAATATAGATACAGGCATCTCCCACTGAGGCAAGTAAGAGAGGGCTCAAAAACTTGTGTATCTGTGTGAGATAATCAATCCTATGTTTCAAAAGGCCTTAAACATCGACAGGAATTAAAATTATGCATAAGAGCTCTGCTGAACTAGAGCCTTCAACATCATGCTTTTGTTCTCCAGTGGAAACAAAATCACCATAAAATAGACGTAGCAAAACACAATCCAGTAATATAAAAAAGAATGGACTTAATACAGTTTGTAATAGGACTGTTTTCATTGCATGTCCTTTTTGAATTTTTCAATGTGAGTGATTTCAGATCTGGTGAATACCTGATGTAGATGTTTCTCTAGTTTTGGTTGAAATAGCCATGGTGTTTTCAAGCTTAACAGAACTATTAATAAAAATGTCTACCTGAGCTAAATGGGGTTTTGTTACTACATGAGTAAAGAATGGGCTGTTTAGCCAATTAGAGATGTAATTTAGAGACTTTAGAGTTGGATTTTTTTTCCCAGCAAATCTTTTTTTTTTTCTCAGTGAAATAGAACCTTGTTTTTCAAAGAACATTTTCAGGAAAAAAAAAACATTCTGAATATCTTGCACTGTTTAGCAGCTATATTGCATTATATTCAGAAAATATTCTTGTCTTACTTTTCCCTTTTTACTTTATGGCACTATGAAAGAAGCAAGGTTAAAAAAAAGGTTAGAGATGTTTCCGAAGTTTAACTAATGGTATTTCTCAGTTGATTTTTATTATCTAAATATTTGCAGGAAAGATTTAACTCTCAAAAGTGTATTTTCTCCCTTTATCAAGTACAATCTGTCCTTCAGAAGGATATAGACTCTGACATCATTCTTTGGAAACTTTCTCAGATAAGCTTTTTAGCAATCTATTCTAGAATCTGTTCTAGATTCTACAGAACTCTTCTAGCAATCTATTCTTTTTAGAATCTATTGTAAAATAATTTTTAAAAAGTTTATCTCTTGAGCAAGTGAATGCAGAACTTCAGACTGGAGTTATGAAGTGTCAGAAATGCTGGAAATGTTCACTTTTAATGAAAAGTTATTTTGGAATATAATAACAGAAGCATATAAAAATTATTTTAGAATATAACAGAAGCATAAAAATAATATCAAACAGCAATAACAAAAGATAAGTCTCTATACCTTTCCCTCACAGACATCCACAATGTCTACCCATACAGAATCAGCAACGATCTCCCTACGACCACCATTCTCAATGAAGTAGTAAGCTACCAAGCGAAAGGCAGGCACCATCTTCTCCGTGATTTGAAGGTTTATCATTTTGTTTGAGTAGGGAATCCTTCCCAAAAGCTCAGTTTGCCCCTTTACTACAACCTGCAGAGCAGAAACAAGCACACAGCACATCAAATACTGTGAATGAGCAGTCAACTGTGTGGTATATTTCATCATTTTTTATTCATATATAAAATATTTTCAGGCCTCTTCCATTTAAACTGTATTTCAAATAGCACCTAGCAATATTAATTCGCTGGCTGAATGAACTGTACATCTGTATGTGCTGACATGCAGCACCCCTCAGACAGTAGCATGGTGTGAAGTCTCTGCAGCACTAGTCTTGCAGCCCAGGCTTGATACCATCACAAGCAGAATTACTTCTGTCTTCTAAATAACATATCTTCAGACCCAGCAGGATGTAGATATTCTGAGCTACATCTTTTTTTTTTTTTTTTTTTTTTTTAAAAATGCACCCCAAAACATTAACATGCTAAAAACCAACATACCATATAATAGAAATAGTCAATCTTTCCACTGCCAGACTGATGAACAGCATTCAAGGTAACACGCAAAGTATCTCCAGGTGTCAAGACTGCATGTGGGACACTGATGCTGAGGTAGTTGCGAGTATCAGACCTGTATCTTTCAGCCCTGATCCTGGCTTCAGGTGATTCTAGCTTTTCTTTTCCCTCTTCAGCCTTTACCTGTGATGGAAGACAAGGAGTACAAGGTCACTCAAGAGTTAATATAAGGTTTCACTCATAATTCATATCTCTCCATGTGCTGGGATCTGGGTTGAATCATCAAGGAGACTTCATTGGCAGAACCTGGCATCATAAAAAATGATTTTCCTGGCTTAATTCCCTCACCCTATTTTGTCTATTTCTACATGTGTGTTTGATAGTTTCCAGGTATGGCTTTTTCTTAATCAAAATCAAAGGGTCAAAATCACGAAGGAGTATTCTGACAGCCTCTTTTTTTTTTTTCTCCTCTCTGTTATCCACATAATTGAACCATCTGAGCGTCCAGATGTAGCCTTTAGTCTATATTGCTTGGGAACTTTTGCTTTATTCTTTTCTTGTCATTTTCTGTCCTTTCTCATGGTTATATCCTGGACAGAATGATTTCTAGACTACACGCCTAGAAAACACATCTGAAAAAAATAAGAAGACATCACCACTCGTGCAAGTACTCCTTAATGCAGGTGTACAGGATAATTTATACAAATTGGAGAATGTTTTATAGATAGTACAAGAAATTATTTTCTACTCTATATGGTAATTTAATGAAAACTGGATATTTTATTTGTAGTTGTTTTATGAACTTTTTTTCAACAATATATTTTTAAAAATTATTATTTTTTTACCTTTATTTGGAGCACCTGTGCATCTCCAGGGATGCTGAATGTGAAGTGGACCAGACCCTCTTTATTTGACAGTGCAGTACTTTTCATTGGGGTTCCAGATGAGGTAACAGTAGCGGTGACAGGCAGAGAGGCAGCAGGAGAACCATCAGTCAGAGTGACAGATGCCTAATGGGGAAAAAAAAAAATGCCTTTCAGTTATTTCAAGAAAATACTCAGGATTAAAAAAAAAAAGGCCCCCAAACATGAAGAAAATATTTTTATAAACAAGAGGAAATATGGAGCTACACATATTACCATACAAAAATTTATGCTTTGAGACGAGGAAGTAGCAGCTGACACAGTCTGACTCAGACTCTAACTCGGTCTGACACAGACTCTAACATGAAAATCTGTGAAGGTAGATTAACAGCTGCCCCATATCCATACATTTCACATTCATTAGACCCTAGAAACTCCCAGATACTTCAGTTTTCAACTACTTTTTAGGTAAAAATCTCTTCTCAATTTTTTGTGTAAAACTTTGTAGAAAAGCCTGAAAACATGAGGTCTAAAAATCCCAAAACTTCAATCACTTTTTTTAAAAGTCAATATTATGTATTTCAGTTTTAGAATTTTAATTTGACATGGAGTTATTCTTCTACAATGTTATTCCCATCTCTTGCTATGGAAGTGAAGAGGCTGTTCAACGTTAATAAACTGTGAGTATAGTTTCCAGAACAGAACCACAGTATTTCCAGGCTTCTATTCCCTCTGAGGGCTCTGTGTGTACAGAAGGAGACAAAAGAGAAACACAAGTCACCAGTTCCATGTTGGAACTACTTCTGCAGGTGTTTCTCCTAAACAGGTTTTAGTAAAGGTTTTGTTTGCAGCCTTCTTTGCCTCTGTCTTTACTGCTAAGACGACCCCCCATGAACTGCAGGGCACAAAGGGAAGAGATGTAAATGGGCTAGAAGAAGACCTTCCACGGGWTGAGAAGGATTGGGTTAGGGATCACTTAGGCAAATTGGACACTCAAAAATCTATGGGCCCAGATGGGATGCACCCAAGAGTGCTGAGGGAACTGGCCGAGGTTATTGCTCAGCCTCTCTCCATCATCCTTGAGAGGTCCTGGAGAGCAGGGGAGGTGCCCGAGGACTGGAAGAGAGCCAACGTCACTCCAGTCTTCAAAAAGGGCAAGAGGGAGGAGCCGGGCAATTACAGGCCGGTCAGCCTCACCTCTGTCCCTGGAAAGGTGATGGAGCGGTTCATCCTAGAGAGAATCTCCGGGCACATGGCGGAGAAGAAGCTGCTGAGGAGCAGTCAGCATGGATTCACCAAGGGGAAGTCATGTCTGATGAACCTCATAGCCTTCTATGATGGGGTGACAGGCTGGCTGGATGAGGGGAGAGCCGTGGATGTTGTCTACCTTGACTTCAGCAAGGCTTTTGACACTGTCTCCCATAACATCCTCATACGGAAGCTCCGGGACAGTGGGCTAGACGAGTGCACGGTGCGGTGGATCGAGGGCTGGCTGGATGGCAGAGCTCAGAGGGTGGTCATAAATGGGGCCGAGTCCAGCTGGAGGCCTGTGGCCAGTGGTGTCCCCCAGGGGTCAGTACTGGGCCCGGTGCTGTTCAACTTGTTTATCAATGACCTGGACGAGGGCACGGAATGCACCCTGAGCAAGTTTGCAGATGACACCAAGCTGGGTGGAGTGGCCGACACTCCAGAGGGCTGTGCTGCCATCCAGAGGGACCTGGACAGGCTGGAGAGTTGGGCAGAGAGGAACCTCATGAGGTTCAATAAGGACAAGTGCAGGGTCCTGCACCTGGGGAGGAATAACCCCAGGCATCAGTACAGATTAGGGGTGGACCTGCTGGAAAGCACCTCCACGGAGAGGGACCTGGGAGTCCTGGTTGACACTAAGTTAACCATGAGTGAGCAGTGTGCCCTCGTGGCCAAGAAGGCCAATGGGATCCTGGCCTGCATCAGGAGGAGCGTTGCCAGCAGGTCAAGGGAGGTGATTCTGCCCCTCTACTCAGCTCTGGTGAGGCCGCACCTGGAGTACTGTGTGCAGTTCTGGGCACCCCAGTATAGGAGGGACGTGGAGCTTCTGGAGAGGGTCCAGAGAAGGGCAACCAGGATGATTAAGGGAATGGAACATCTTTCGTATGAAGAGAGGCTGAGCGAGCTGGGCCTGTTTTCTCTGGAGAAGAGATGGCTCAGAGGGGATATGATTAATATGTATAAGTTCAGGAAGGGAGAATGCAGGGAGGAAGGGGACAGGCTGTTCTCACTGGTGGCCAGCGATAGGACGAGGGGTAATGGCCACAAGCTGAAGCATAAGAAGTTCCGTCTCCAGGTGAGGAGCAACTTCTTTACTGTTAGGGTAACAGAGCAGTGGAACAGGCTGCCCAGGGAGGTTGTGGAGTCTCCTACTCTGGAGGTCTTCAAAACCCGCCTGGATGCCGCCCTGTGCCACATGCTCTAGGTGTGCCTGCTTGAGCAGGAAGGTTGGACTAGATGATCTGTAGAGGTCCCTTCCAACCTTAAATATTCTGAAATATTCTGAAATATTCTGAGCAGATATAAATCCCTTTAAACAGAAGAAAACAGACATAATAGACTAAATAATACATACCAAAACAGAGAAGGGGGCTCCAGGCACAAAATATTTTTTGGTGTTGGACAGATCAACAACATAAGGAGATTTCACAAACTTCACGTTACTGAGTTCTTCCTCCCTGATCTCGCCACCTGTTAATATCAAGCAGCATGTTTTGCTCTGAAAGCCACAGTTACGTGCCTGCATATAGCATCCATGCTTTCTAATTTCAAGATGAATTGCATTTTAAACAGCATAAGGCAACTAAAGGATGACCCTCACCCAAAAAGTTTCAGTTGTGCAGAAAGGAAAAGCTGGATTCAGATCGATTGAGGGCCAATTCCTTCTAGGCAGCAATAGGGAAGATCTTGCCTAAAATGTTAGCTTCATGGTAGAGAACTTTAGTGATCAACAGTGAAGTAACAGCTCTCATGTTAGCTTCATATGAGTAGTGATAGCATCTGTAATAACTCAGTAGCCTCTTAATTGCTGTGATCAGTTCAACTCTGTGTCCTTGTAGGTAGCACTAAGATACGTGATGGCCTTTCCAGAGGGCTTAGCATTGCAACAGGCAAATACTCATATGAATGTGTGGAAAGGAGTCAGAGGATAGAGAATATAGTGCACTGTGATGCAGCATGAGCAAGCTTGGCAGGTAAGATTGGTCCAATGGGCCAAATTTTCCCATGTGAAGGATTACATTAGAGACAGATCAATGTAAATATTACAGGGTGTATTATAGGGTATATATAGTGTACTCACTTGCAGTTTCTACAGTGGTAACAGCAATATACAAATGAAAACCTTCTAGAGTGGAAATATTACTTTTTAATTTCTCTTCCAGCATGGGTGTACTTAAAGTCACTCGTCCTTTTCCTTTTTGGATCTAAAAAAAATGTGGAAAACAAAAGATTAATTTCTGCTCTTTTTTACATTACAGTTTTAATATTTGTTGCTCATAGCAAAACTATGAATTGCAGTGATTCATATTTTGACAATTTTTGATAACATTCGTCCCCCCTCGGATAAGTCAATTTCAGTAGACTCTGGTACTTACTGAGAGCTGTTGTTCCAGGCCTGTAAGGAAGACTTTTTTCTCAGTTTCATCCACTACGCCAAATCGCACATATGCAATTCCGTCAATACCTTTGCCATAAGAATGTCTTTGCAAGGAAGAAAAGTGAGAAGATCATTGTGTTAATAAAAAGTAAACATAAATAAAATTATCTATTTTATGATGAACATAAAATATGGATATGGATGGGCATTCTTTTTAACTTATGATCTTTTTAACTTATGATCCCTACCACTAATAAAACAAATATGAAGAATTTTGCAGTTCCATGTACAAAACAGTAATTCCAAATACATAAAAACACATAGAGAAAATCACTTTGTCGGGATCACACATGGAAATATCTTCTGTCAAAATTTTTATAGATTAATGAAAACTTTAGATTCCCAGATATGCAAGATCTCACACAACTCATGCCCTTCCCCAGGAACAGGGGAAGACTATTTATGGGACATCCAGCTAATTCCTTTTTATTAGATACCTCATGCAGAGAGCTTAAAAATCCCAGGAGAGACCTATCTGATGCAGCTGATGCCCTGTAGACCTCCAGAAAGAGCATCCTGCCACGATGCCATGTGCAATGTATGCATCTGGCGATCAGATTGCTCTGTTCTACATAACAGATGGGTCTCCAAGGCCATCATGAGAACAGGACATGACACTGCATCTGGCAGGCTCCTCTCGCAAAGAAACCCTGGAGGTGACATCGTCCTGCAGCAGAGCAGGTAGCACAACATGAAACCATTGGCATGTCACAACCACGTGGTGATTCTTGCTTGCAGAAATCCTGCTTCATCTCAATTTTATAATGGATTATTTAATTTATTTGGACAAAGTCTCTTCCAAATTGATTTTATCAGTTTGTACTGATGTATACCAGTGAAAATTTGAAAGACTGAGAGACAATTCTTTTGGAAGCTGTTTAAAATCACAAAATTTCTCTAGCAACTAGAGAAGCAATATTCAACACATGAAATAATTGATAATTACTTGCATGGCAAGTTAATAAAGGTAAGTTCAATTGTCAGGAATTTCATATGCTGATTTTGATGTAAACCAGGCCTATTTAACGTCTTTAGGACTTTTTCTAACAAATAAGGCTTCTACTTGCGTAAAGCAAGTCTGGAAAAAAAAAAAGAGAAGTAATTGAAAATTGAATACAGTATTCAGTTATTCAGACATATTATTTGGTTTTCCCTCTTAAATAATTATGAAAGTAATAAGGACTGAAGGGTATGTGAATACCATTAATTGGAAATTGAGTGCTATAATAACATGAAGATAAGATTTTTCAAAGAATTAAATTATTAAAGCTGCTTATTTAAAATCACTCGCAGCATCAAGTAACTACAATTAAAGCTATCAGTTGTATAACAGAATCAATTAAAGAAATAAGGTAAGCAAGAGAAGATTAGAAAAGCTGAATTTGTTCAGTTTTGCAAAAGGAAGCCCATGCCAGGACGTAAGTTGAATTGGGGAGAAGAAAGATCTGCGTTCTCCAGGCAAAGAGCTCATGGATAGCTGCCAAAAGACCAAAAGCATATGAAGTAGTTGGGGATGAATTTAAGCCAGAGATAAAAACAACTAGGGCTTTGCAGGGTTGAAAAGCCTTCCTTTCACTTGGACACCAGGACCAGGCAACACAACTAGCACCTGGTGCCTCTCAGGGCCATTAGGATTCAATTAAATGAGCCCATGATGCTGAGGCCAGATGGCAAAAAATGCCCTATGCCTGTTTTATTCAACTCACTTATCTCCACAACAGGGTAGCCACATGTAAACTGCCTCCTTCCAGCAGACCTTTGTCCATGTTTATTCCTGAACTGCTTCCAGCAATCGTTTGGGAGTCCTCCTGACGCTCAGGCCAAAAGCATATCAGGCACCAGCCCAACAGGGCTTAGTAGGATTTCCTGGAACTGTTTAATTTACCACCCAAACAGTTTAAATATAGTTTTCCCCAATTATGTTTAATTCTTTAAATAGCCCAAACTATAGAATTATTCCTCAGGTTGAAAAAGCACCTTTTAGTCACATGACAGTTTTGTGACTGTCATGTGACTTTAATGTAATATTTAATTCTTACCCAACCAAAGGCTATTGCAAACAAAACTACATGCAAGTTCAGTTGCAGTCACTGCTTAACAAACGTAATAGATCACAAACTTTAAGTGTTAGGTCAATGTTTTTTATTCTTATCTAAATATTGGATTAGCAGATTTTATGCAAGGATCTTTTCCCCTTCTGTATTAACCTTTTCCTCCTTGTGATCCCTGTCAGCTACAGAGCCAATATAAAAGAGACTAGATACAAGAATATATTCAAAAGTGACCTATATAACTTATATGTATATAAACATATGTATATGTATATATACATAACTTATATGTATATAAAATAACTTATATGTATATTATTCAATAACAACTATATTTCCTGCATAAAATGTGTATATATGTATATATGTAGTTCAAAACATAATTGTAAATCATGAAAAAATCAGAATCCTGAAATTAATTGGATACAATAAGCTTTATCAGACTTCAACTGATTATTTAATAAAAAGTAGACAGTTCACTTTCTACCATCACTGGAATCATTATAATACAGAAAATTTGCCAACTATCTAACATTAGCTACAATATTAACAACATTAACTAAAATAACTCTGTAGTATCAATTTTTTTTTTCAGTTAAAGACTTACAAAGAACTGGATGAATTAACCTCAAAAAGCCATGAAGACTTATTTTTTAGGGGTTGCTGCATGTTCAGCAGTCTACTGACACATCAAAATTGCCTTGGAATAAATCTGAGATTTTGTCTAGATACAGATATTTTGCCAGAATAACTATTTTAGTATTATTTAGATAATTCAAAGTATCTGATTTCAGGGTGTGTATTTCTTCCATATCATCGATATAGTATGTTTGGTAATATCCTAAAAAATGACCCAATTTAATACCACTTAATGTTATTTTATGATATCTAAAGACATAAAAAAAGGAAGAATACACAGAACCTAAGAAAACAAATAGGTGAGCAAGAGGATGGACAGTCTCCTCATTCATTTGAAGAAGAAAAGACTTTTCCTAGGTATGAGGGAAGACCAACTACTTGGGCTCCTTTTGTACAATTTATTCAAGTTCTACTTTAATCACCAGAGAGATAATAAATTATCAATTCTTACTCCTAACTACTCACACAGAGGTTCTTTAAATCAAAACATCTGAATTAATGTAACACTGAAGCACTTGGCTTAAATGACCTCCATATAAATCCTGGACTTGCAAATCTCATGTAAATAAATCCTTCCAAAATCATCAAGTCCAGTTGCATGAATGATTACTTCAATAAATACAGAATACATCACTGTGTTTCCAGAGAACTATTTAATTTTTCTCTCCCTCTTCCCAGTACCAAAGGTGGACAAGATATTTCTAGTTCTTTCTGACTCCAGCTGAGAAGTAAATAAAGCAAGACTACCCTCCTAACATGCAGTTATTTAGTATTTCCAGTACTAAGAGCTTTTAAAACTCCACCATCAGGGGGACCTGATACATGTGTGAATTAATGATAGATCATGCTGTAAAACTAGATTCAGTTCTGTCAGTGTTGCCTCAGAAATTATAGAGCTATACAACATAAAATAATGATTCAGTACAGATTAAATCTGAATCTTCAGAGATATTTAGAATATTTTGATAGGTTAAATTGTCCATTGGCTTTTGAAGTAATCAGATATTGAATATTGATGAGATTCTAATTTGATATGGGATGAGGTTTATTCTGCACAGAGCAGAATTGGCTTGGACAGTCTGGGAGCTGTGAAACCATGTCAGTGCAGTTAGGCACATATTACATCAAAGGTCTCAGAAACTATGTGAGATTAACTATTTTATTCAACTGGAAGTGTATCTTAAAAAAAAAAAAAAAAAGGAAATATTAATCTGAATTAAAAACTAGCCTGTTATAACCAAACTTCATTGGACTTTGAAGAAATATCATTTTCTTCATTTCTTCAAAGAAATAAAATTCTCCAAACTTGGATTGCCTCTATCTGAATTAAATTAAGCAACATCTGAAGCTCTAGAATGTTTTGAAATGTTCAAAGCAAAATGGATAAAGAAATGTCTCTGTCTAGAGTCACATCTACCAGAAAAGAATTCTAACTGATCATTGTTTTACTAATAACCTAAAATAGTCAGAAAATCTGGCATCATTTTGATCACCCCTTGGATTCATATAACATTTTACACTGCTGTCCCAAATTAGTAGCAAAGTAGAAACAGATAGTCTAAGAGCTGAAAGTAAGATTCAAGTAAAACCAGAACTTAGTTAACTGTTAATGACCGAGAGAGGAAGAAGCATCAGGGTTCATTATGTGCTTTTCCGTGTGCCTCCTAAAAAGACCTTGCTTTGGAGTGTACTTACTTTGCCTCAATATCAAAGACAAAGCTTTGATTCCAAATGTGGTAGTATGGCTGGAGTGGGATGAGTTTGACATCAAAAGAAGGCAGCTCTGCAGAGAAAAAAAAAAAGAAACAGAACTAGTCTGAAATATCCCCCTCCTTCTCAAAATGTGTGTAGTGTGGATGTAGGGGCCCCAGCAGCAGCTGTGTCACTCTGCAGATGGGCTCCTATTTAGCTATACTACTTGCTGCTGTAAAGGTAGCCAGATAGATGCTTGCTCTTGAGCATAGAAACTCACAGCAGGTTCTACTAGTGTGTAACCATTACATGCACTAGCTAAAGAAAATCTGGGTTTTGTAAAAGTGCAAACTGCATTTCTTATAATTCTTGTCTCAAAAGAAAATAGACAAAATTTAAAAATAAATTAATAAATTTGGTACAAAGAAATCAATAAAATATTTTCAAATTTTTGAATTTCTATATTTAGAGTTTTTCCCCAATGCTTTTTCTTTTCCCTACAAAAATCTTCACTTGAATATGGCAACTGCTTCAACCAGTCTGCTGCTAAGAAACTTGTTATTACTTTTATGTTATTCCAATTGGATAGCTTTGTCAAATTTACAAGTTATTCTTCCATCAGTCAGAGTTAGCAAAGATGAACTGGAACTCCTTGAATCACACCTAAATAACTAGTACCCAAACACCTAGTACATAAATAGAACCACTTACAAACACTGCAATATATCTCTAAAAGTAGAGGTGGTTTTTCTACATTTATATTCCATATTCAATATCCTCTTACCATATTTTTTAACTTCAAATTCAGCTGAAGCATTTGACATTTCATAATCTTGAAACCAGGCCATGATTTTCCATGTTCCAGGTCTAAAGTTCAGATTTTGCATAAAAGAGTTAATTAAGATTTCTCACATATTGTATTGTAGTAATACATTTAAATAATCTCTAAATATGAAAAGTATACTTCCAATAAATTGAATAATCCCCAATAAATTGAATACTAGTATTTTGCTTGTTTTGACCCTATACAAAAGCAATTTATTAACAAATCTCTCTTTGCTTGAGAGGGCAAGCAAAGTATTAACAAATATAGTGGATACTATTCTCCAAGCATTTATGAGAAACAGCAAGATACCATAATTTGAGACTGCATTAAAATAGAGAGCTCATCATATATTTGCTTTTAATTATCTTCACTGGGAGATCAATTTTATTCTAGCTCACAATTGAACATTGAATACTAAGTAAAGGCTTAATTACTTTGTCATTTAATTACACTTTAAACCCTTACAGATGTGCTCTCCTGAGTGGAATTTGTATATCCCCTTGAAGGGAGTCTTATGATCAAGGCAGATATCCACCAGCCACCAGCTCTAACTCCATGCCACAACTGCTCTCACAAATGATCAGAGCAAAATTATCTGCTCTAGTGTACTTGGTATTTTCTTGCTGCTCTAAAAAAATGATAATACATATAAAATAAATGAAATAAAACAGTGTCCCTGAAGTTGTCCTGCAACCCATTTTCAGCCTGAAGATAGTTTTGCTGCAAGAGGCATTTTGCCATATGTCTTTTTTGATGAGCAAGGCACAGGAACATACTCGGCAATATCAGGTATTACAAAATGTTCGTTAAGCACTGTTTTTACTCTCCATTCAGACTTTTTAGTCACCATTCCTCTTGAGTTCTGTTGAGGGAGAGAACAAGCAAATGCAAGTTTATGCAGAAGGTAAAAAACATTCATGGTCAAAACCTCAAACCTATGAGACCACAAAAAAAGTGGTCTATTATATTCCTTCCCAGGTATTCATCCCTCCCTCTCTAGTCTTGACATTGGCCAAAACCACTAGAAATACGTAAATACACAATATGTAGATGCTACTCCTTATATAAAAAGGAAGAAACACTGTCCACTAAACCAGTCCCATACTTTTATGCCCTGGAGAGAGGAGGTAGAGGAGAAGCTGCCCGTGGAGCTCCATCTGTGGAGAATTTTTCACAAGGCAGGGGTAGAATGACAGCAAAATGGAGAGGAGCTAGGGTGGAGTCCTGGTTTTGGATCTCTAGTGCGACTTTCTAATGCTGAATATGATAAAGAAGCACTGGATAAAACTACTTTTTGCATACTCACTATCACAGCAACTTGAATTGCTTCACTTGTTGGCCTCATAGCATTGTCCAGAATGAACACCCTGAATTTTACTGCGTAAAAGAGAATAAAATGTATTTTAATATTCATTTATAGCCTCCCTCTTCTAGATAGTAATTACTGCATGAACTTAACTGAGTTTCTGAATTTTAGATAAAAAGCTTTCTTTTCAAGAAATGTGAGAAATTTCAAAGAGAGATATTGCATTCTTCCATAAGCTTTGAACATTACGTGAGTGACCACATACATTAGGTTTTTGAAGCCACTTCTGAAAAATACGTGGCAAACATCACTTCATTGTTGCATTTCTGTGATCAAGGACTGCAGCATTTTTGACTTTAAAGGTCAAATTTGTAAAGTTTCGACCTTCTGGTGTTTTTGCTTATATAATTGTTAAAAGCAGTGAAATATTTGTGACTGCAAGTTAGTTGCAAAGGTATTTCTGGCAGGAACTGCAAACCAAAGAAATTATTTTGGGGATAGGGGAGAAAGACTCCCATTTTATTTTGTTTTCCTGAGGAATACCATGATTATAATCCTTTTTCATAGAAAGAAATATAGAAAGACTCCTCCACTGCTGTGGTGCTTTGTGAGGGTCCTGTTATGAGCAGCACAGAAGCCCTAGCCACGAAGCTTGGATTTAACGGGTTTAAATTTGCTGTCGTGTACACACAAATATCTGGAACCTGTATTGGAAAATCAACCTATTATTGCTTTCTATAACTATGCTTTTGTGACATCTATTTTCAATATCTGAAATGCGGTGTTTGTGTGTTAACCTTTGGAGTTCGGTGTGTATATAGGTTTATCTGTCTGAATAAAAATGTAGCCTTTCTTGGAAGACAGGAGGATGCGAATGGTTTGAACGGCCTCCCCGAAAAGGTGCCTGCTTTCAGTGACCAGCAGAACATAGGGCAGCCTTGTCCTCATGGACATATCCATATTCACATTTTCTGGGTTGATCTGAAAACAAAGAAAGAAAAGATCCTGTAGAATCAGGTATATAACTTACAGGTATGTCAACCAAGAGGCCAAGAAAAAGGTAAAGTACCTACGTATTTTAAGACTACTGTTCTACAGAAGGATAATCAATTATTTCTCTCTATTCGGCAAATAGAAAATAAAAGATTTGAATTGATGCGTAGAATCAGTCAATCAAGTTACAAGGTTATGGATGATTCACAGGCTGCGGGTTGAGAAACTGCACATTTTTTAAGGTTTTCTCTATTTTGTAAAATAGCCAGTATGCAATGGATAGGAATGCAGTCTTAAGTTATACAGATCACCGTTTGTAAGAGTCAGAGAAATGATAACAAGAAATCAGATCCAAACATGTAAAAACCTTGGACTTTCTTGTTGGATACGAAAGAGCACTCCCTGCTGCAATCCTATTGTGTATTGTTTTATCAACTGACTTGGTGAATAGAGAGCTGCTTCCACTGGAACTGGTGATTTGTTATCTTCCTCTAACAATCCCTATTGCCTCTGTTCCAACATATTTCCAGCACAGATTATACGATTGGTTTAAAATTATGATTTACATTATAAAGATGTTTGACTCACCAATAATTTTTTGATCTGTTGGTAGTTGTTCCCTTGGTTAAGGTTAAAGGTGGTCTTTGCTGATACGAGCTTATTCTTTGCCTCATCTTTAAAGTATGCTGTAACTTGGACAGGGCTCTGTACTCCATGAACTTGAACTGTTACTGTCTCAGGTGTGCCCAAGTGCACGACGTTAGGAGCAGTAATAAGAAATCTAAAACCACATAGAAATGTGTGTACTATCTGGAATATATAGAATACATTGACCAATATGTTGGCAGATTTTCACAGATGTTAAGAAAATACAAGTTTTAAAGAAAGAAATTGTCAAACTTGCAAATTCTACTGTCAAAGAACAGCTGAGATGATTGGAAGGGTCATTTGGATATCATCTAGCCCAATCCCTCTGCTAGATACATATTAAAAGAAAATAGTGTCTCTCCAGTTGATTTTGAATATCGCATTAAGGTCCTACTAAAGATCAGCATCTATGGGAAAAAAAAGAGGTCCTGTTTTCTCCAAGAATTATAATGCTTATTTTTCCCCTAAATGGAACTGTCCAATTAGAGGAAACAACATACGAAAATCTTCATTGAACAGAGAAGAGGCACATCATAACCCCAAAACTCCTGTAGATGAAAATCTTTTCTTTCTGCAATGTATTTAATCAGTTACAGAAAGGTCAGTGATTCTTTTCCAAGATTTGTTGATCCTCTAGTAAATTTCAGAAAGCTGGAGATGAATAAGCCAAAATAACAGCACATACATCATGCTCTAATAGAACATTTTTGATTGTACCTTATTGAGCACAAGAGAGAGGGAGATCCTTCCCCTTAGAAAAAGGTTTTATTTTACAGAGACTTTTTACAAATTTTCAGAGTTCCAGGAAAAATATATTACTGATTCCAAACAGCAATCCCCAAACTTGCTGTCAAGACCACAAACTTCCTACTTTCTCTTTCAATGGATTTTTTTTTTTAGGAGTGAAGAATTAATTTTAAAAAATGTACTTACGATGGTGCTTGCTGTGCATTGGATAACAGTAAACAAAAACTCATCAAAAATATCAGCCTTTCCATTGGAAGCCTCTATGGCACTGGTCCTACAAAACAGAAAAATCCAAAAGCCACCCTCAATCCTCCGTTGAGATCCAGGTTGCAAGAAATGGGCTGATGGCACATGGTAGCAAAGAGCATTACCCCTCTGGGTTATTTATTAATAATTTGCAAAACCATGCAACCAATAATGACTGACATGCTAGTGATATATAAGGGCAGATCCAGAGCCTGAGGAAAAGACATGCTGGAGACTAAGCCAGAATTCTGCATTTGATTATTCCTTCACTCTCTTTCAAGCTACAGTATTTCCACATGTTAGTAATTTAAAATTATGTTCCAGTTTTCAGAGTACAGCAAAGACAATCCTAAAATCACACACGATACCACAGCTAAACCAGTGTCTCTAAAGCAATTCATCATGTGGACATATGTAAAAAGAGCAGGTCCCTGCTCTATGACACTCTGTGACATTACTTAGCTCCAAGTGTCTCTTAGTCCAGCAAGAGTGAAGACAAACCTCCTGGTTTAGGTAGCAGAAAAGGAGCTGCAGTGGAAATGTGTCTGTGCAAATCTGTAGTGCTACAGGGGAAATCCTCTGCTTTAACATAAATGTTTTAGGAAATGGATGCCCATGGCTGAGCTGGTCTACCCAGACTAAGGCAGGGGCTTTCCTGGAGACTTGTGAATCTCATCTTAATATAAATCTACAAAATGATTTCACAGCAGCAGACTTTCCTAACTACACCAAATGGCACAAAATCCCATAAAAAGCAGGATATTCAAAAATAAGAAATATATATATGTGTCTGAAGAATAGCTATTTGTACAGGAACCAGGTTTTACTAGAGGCAAAAGGAAGGAACAAATTAAAACTCTACTCAGGTCTCATTTTTCAAGCCTTTACCAGATTTATCCTTCCAAAAGTAGATTTGTTTACTCATGAAAATGGAAAAATGCTCATGTGATCTGCAGCTCAAATCCCAGAAGTGATCAGAATGTTGTCCAACAGCTCTAGTGATAAACTGCCTTTTGTTAGACCACATTTTAGCCAGCACCCTTAATCATGAGAAACAAATACCTTAAGGCAAACAAGATGGACAACCAGCAAGCTACTATTTGTAAGGTGAACTCAAAGGCACAGCATGGACCCTGGCTGAAAGTAAGAAAAAACACAGATGGACGTGACAGCTTTCTGCACATTTATAGTCATTGGAAGTGTATTTCTGGCCTCAAACCCAGAACTGCACAGGTTGTTTTACTTTGTGCACTGTAGGCATGGATTTCTTCCAAGAGCCTAAAATTTGACCAGAACAACTCCAGCACCTGGACTTATTAGGTCAAAGGCTTCTTATAGCTTCAGTGGTAAAATAAACATATTAGAGAGAGGCAGGAATTATGCCACAGTTCAGAAAGCCAGGAATCACCATGCCTATCATAATAAAATGTGTAAAATATTGTACAGAAAATATTTTTTCTGTGTGTTTAGAATTAGATTTTTGAAAATAATGTGAAGTTAATTTCTTGATTTTACCAAATTACATAAACACCAAGACAAAGCACAAAGATGACTAACTTCAAATACCCAATGGAATCACGGACCCACTTAAATGCCAGCCATGATGATATGAAGATCACAATCTGTGTCACTAAGGCATTGATTGATGAGCCTGGCTTCCCATCCCAGCCTAAGGTAATTCCAGGTGCAAAAGGGACACCTGTCAGAGGCAGCTGGATGTGAGTAATTATATATATTTTTTTGATGTTTAGGGAGCTGCAGAGAACTTGACAAATAAAATCCAGGTCCAGGCGGCTCCTTATGTTCTCCAGGCCCCAAAACAACAGCTTTTCCTCCCTGTTGTTCCTGGGAGGTAGATGCTAGAGACATGCAAGTGGCGCTGCTATTGATCTGGTCTATTTGCTACTGTCTTTAAGTCCAGGCTTAACATAATTAGTATGATATAGATTAGATATATTAGATATAGATTATAGTTTGGGTCAGTTGGATAGTTTTCTTAGTATTGAACAAAGGAGAGACTCCAGCTGGGCAAGATCTGTAAGGAGACCAGCAAGTGATACCCAGGCCTTTCCTCAGGGCTTTGATCATCTCAGTAGGCATCAGCTGCAGGACTAATAGAGCTCAGGTTACAGGAGAAAAATAATTATTTTTTTGTTTTGTTTCATTGTTGTTGCTTTTTGTTTGGTTTTTCTCCAGGCAAATGAAATAAACAAGAGCAATAAGCAAGCAAAACAAACACACAGACAGACAAATAAATAAATAAATAAATAAATAAGTCCCATAATCTGCATCCCACTGTTATGGCCCTTTCCTGGAAAAAGTCTTTTCAAGGTCTGTCAAGGGAAAGTGGGCCTGAGTGCTGGTGGCATTAGGTAGGTTCTGCAATGTGCTATCCTTAAGGGAAAGGAAATGTCATACTGAGTTCACACCAAAACTTCAGTCTTGTGCCTCTCCTCTCAGAGAGGAGGACGGGGTATTTCACTTGGTCTCAGGGGACCAAAATCTGCTTATGTGGCTTCATATGGGTTGGGGTCTGTTAAGGATGTGGGTTGGAGTGTGTTAAGCTCTGCAGCCTCTGAACTCACACAGAGACCTTCTCATGGATCATGTAGATTCATGTAGATACTGCAAAAACTGTTTATTTGTATTTTATTTGTATTTTTATTTTATTTTTTCATTATTTTTTATTATTTTTTATTATTTTTTATTATTTTTTATTATTTTTTATTATTTTTTATTATTTTTTAATTTTATTTGTTTTAATTAGATTTGCACATTATTGCTTCCCTGTGAGGAATGCTGAGGGACAGTGGAGTATCAACATGACACAAACACATGTATGCAAGTGAAGGTTGTGTGCAGATGTGGTTTACATAACTGGTGACCATTAATGTTAGTGACAGCAATTTTTTTCTCCAAAATATTAAACTATAACTGTAATTAAATAAGGATTCTCTTAATCTCTTTCACAAACAGGAAAGGTTATTTAATCCAATAATCATTTATACAATTACATTTACAATTTCTTATGCTTTTATTTGTCCAGCTCTGAATTTATATAAAATGATCATGGCATAAATAAACTTGCACTGCAGACCCTTTCAGGCTGTTTGCAATTTCTAATATAACACAAAATATTTCATTCGGACATCCCTTTAAATGTGCAAATAGCTAATATAAATGTAAATGTATTTTCACATTTTCATTGTTTGTGATAAAATGTAGTTGCACATTACTCACGTTATTTCACATTAATGTAAATATAATAAAATTCTGTCATTTGAAAGCATCCAGCATATCTATGTTAGAGCAAAACCAAAAAAAATCCCTAAACCAAGTGACCTGCCTTTTTCTAAAGTCAAAGTCCTTTCATATTTACTCATCAACTATTTTTTTTTGTCAAGTGCAATATTGATTCTTGCGCTGACCCTCAGTTCAGCACAGTGTGTGGAAAGCACTGTCTGGGATTTAGGTATGGTCTGGGATTTAGGATTTAGGTAAAAAGGAACTAGTGAAGCCCTAGCTCAGAGAGACCAACTGGATTTGTTTTCAATATATGCTTTCTTTCTTTTTTAAAGATTCATTTGAACTTTGCAGATTTTCACCATGTTTCAAACATCAGCAACAGTTTTGGTTCTGAAGCTTGAAGGGCTTCCAACTTGCCTTTCCCCCTCCATTGGCCTGAATATTAATGGGATCAAAGTCTACTTTCGGTTTCCAGCTCTAGTCTTTCACCTCTGCCTGGTAAGAGGGTACAAAGGACAACTTCACAAAGCACATTTACAAGTAAGCTTTGCAGTAGCTTTGTTAAGATACAGGAGATTGTGAAACATGCAAAACATAATATTGCACTGCTGATATTTTAGAGCAGTAGATTTTTGAAATCCTTTTCCAACAGCAGGCCATGGGGGTCTAATTTGAAAAGACTCTCCTAAAAGCAGGACAATTTTGGCTTAACACTTACATACATAAAAATTGTTATTATTATTTTTATTTACCGTAATCTGGACAATATATTAAAAAGTTAATCTAGGTCCTAGTTGCTTTTACCTTGAAGAACTGCTATTTTCACCAATACTTGTTTTGTGTTTTAGATTTTCTATTTGCTTCAAAAAAGATGTATATTCTCTTTTAAAGAGGAAAGCCAACATATCCTGCTGCCACTGAGGAGCCTTGGTTTGTTTTTGCGTTTGTGTTGGGGACAGTTCATACAAACAAATTCAATCTTTTCTCATGGGTTCTCAGTCAGAAGGAAGTAGAAAGCTACAGGAGCTGAGAAAGAAAACAGCTTGGCCCTGATCGTCATGTCTAGGGATGTTTGGTTTTACCATTCCACCCAAACATACTGAAGTAGGGCAAAATGTCAATCACAAATTCCCTTTTTTTTTTTTTTTTCTTTTTGGTAAGTTCCATTAAAAAGGTCAAAAGCAACCCAATTTTTCCTCCATAGCAGCAAGGATGAAACCATATTACCTACAGAATTGACATGCTCCAAATATTTTGGACTTTCCTCCTTTCTTGAGTTTTCCAAACTTTAAGTAAATTAGTTGTCTCTTACTGTTTTTTTTTCCTCTTTTTTTCAGGGGAGGAGCAAAAAGAGAAAAATATCCTGAAGATATAATGTTATCAGAAAAAAAAATAAAAAAAAAAATCAGCCAGACAGTAAGTATTACACATTCAGTGCTGTGGATTTGGGAGCACAGCTTGAAATCAAGTAAATTCAGTGTTTTATAATTGCAGAATTTAGAAGGAGTAATTTATAAATATCACTGATCCTCATTCCTTACATTTCCTGAACTAACTGTTTAATGGAGATACTCTATTTTTTTTGACATTTTCACAATTACACTCAAAAATGTTTCACAACAGAAAGGGGAAAAAAAAACATAAAATCCCAAGGAACTGCTAGTCCTGACTGTATCTGCCACTGGCAGCTTTTCCTCTCTCTCTCTCTTTTTTTCCCCCTTGCTCTGATCTCTGGATTAAGTTTAAATTTTTGTTTCCCCCAGTAACTCACCCACCAGACACAGGGAGACTCTTCACTTCTCCCAAGCCAGGAGGCTCTGCTCTGAACTCTATCGCACTCGAGTAAGT